AGTAGCTGATGTCCAAGGGAAGAACCACTGTGGCTGCTCGGGGAAGGAGGAAGGAGCCACCAAGAACTTCAGAACACCAGCATGCGTGAAAGAAGTACCGGAGTGTAGGGGAGCACAGCTACAGACCCTTATCCGACTTGATGAATGCTGAAAAAGTCGAGTGAATCATTTATTATGGGTTTTTAACTGTTGCATCAACTTGGCTTCCGTGGGATAAAGGCATGTTGGTCATGATACAGTATTTTTTTTATAGACTGCTGGATTATACTTATATTTTATTTTTCCCTTTGGATTATCAGTTCCCAACAAATCTGTTTTATTTTGATTAATCATCTTTATTTAACCTCTTGAAGAAATGACTGGTGGGATCTTGAATGTTCTTTAACTTCTAATGATGGCTCTAATGATCTTTGACTTGTTGGAGGGCTGTAGGACACTGCATACTTCCAGACACTCTCCCTTCCTTTTTGAGTGCTGGAAGCTGTAAACATGACTCCCAAGTAAAGACCTGTTGTACAAGTCCTTGACCTGGAGCTTGTAATGTGCACAAACAGCCACTGTGTGTCACTGTTAACCACAGAATAACGATCAGAAACAGATGATAGAATGCAAATTTCCTGAAGGAGACTAGCTTTAAGTTAGGCTTAAAGTATCAGTTTTCTGGGGTTGCCATAACAGAGTCCCAAATACCAGGTAAATTAGAAACAGAAATTTATTTTCTTACGATGTGGAAGTGTTGAATTGTGAGATTGAGGTGTTTTTTGGGAGGGCCTCTCCCTTTGGCTTATGGATAGTAGTCACCTGTCCCCTTAGTTCATGCCTGGGTCCTAATCTGCATTTCTTAGAAGGACATTAGTCCTACTGAACCAGAGCTCATGTTAATATAAACATGCCAAAACATCCACTTCTTGGCTCTAAAGTTCGATATGGCTTAGGAGATCATATCTTGCGGTCAGTTCCAAGCAGACTCTGTGCTTAAGGAAGCCAGTTAGCTGCAATGCCTGACTGCAGACTTTAGGGAGGCAAAGTACAAAAGGAAGCCAAAGCACCTCATTTTACCATAAAACAAGAAAATTCTTGAACACTGATAAGATTCTTGAAAGCATTCCCAGAGATCCAATCAGGGAAATATGAGTATCAGAATAATGATGGTGAAATGGAGAATAGACTACTGAATAAAATAGGAAAATCTGAGACTGTAGTTAGAGATTATATAATCATAAAATTTAAAGAACCCCTCCATAATAAAAAGACAAAAAAACAAGCTCACGTGGAAGCTTGACAAAGGCACCCTTTAACCAAGTAGGCACCATCAATACTGGAAAAAATTGAAATCATGCACTTACTAGGAGAATGTGATAAGGAAAGCACAACTCCATTTCTGTTTGTTTTCTGGCAAAATTGTATAAACTGAATCTAATGATGTGGAAATGTAGAGCAAAACATTAAGGCGCATTCTACAAAACAGGCTTATAATACTCAAAAGTGTCATAGTCCAGAAAGTCCAGGACTGACCGGGAGACTTCCAGAATTAGAAAAACTCTATCACAACCAAAAAGCGTAATTTTGAACAGAATACATTTGCTCTTGAGGAAAATAACAGTAATAATAATAATAATAATAAAACCCTGGATAGGATGTGATGATTAAATGGGACATGTGTATTAGAGTGTATTCCTTAATTTTGGTGGTAATGAAAAAAAATGTCCTTACAGAATATATGTGTACTGAAATATTTTTGAGAAGATGTGAGATCAGACTAACAACTCACTCTAAAATAGTTAGGGGAAAATTGTTCTTTACCTTGATTTATCCAAACCTTCTATTAGTTTTCAACCATTTCAAAATTTCACAATGGGTGTTTAGCACTACAGTTATGTGGACGCTTTGGATGTCTGACTTGTGATGATGGGCCCTACCATCTCAGAGACTGAAGGGCCATGAGTAAGATCTCCCAATTACTCTACATCTGGCACTAGACTGAATTTGTTTTTCTAGATAAAACATTCCATGTATTAATACCAATCACAAGGACATAAATGATAATTTCCTGAGTTAACAGTGAAATGTAAAGTTTAATCTACATCAGTAATACATTTTATTCTACATCTAATACTAGACTGGATTTCAGTGCCAAGGGTGCTGCTGGGTCTTCCCCCACAGCCGGTACAGCTGCTTGGCCAGGGAAGATCTGTGGTTGCTGCTCTGACCACATCAAAAGCCCTCAATAGCCATCACCTTGGCCCAGCAAGCAAGTGGTGATCTGCTTTGCCCACCCTCCCCACCTCTGCAGATTTAATATTAAAAACACAGGCAGTTGTGCTGGCATGCTGGGTTAGTTAAAACAAAGTTGGGATGAACCAGTCCCAGAATGCCAGGCAACTGTTTTCGGTTTTTCTCCCAGCGGTGTAAAACTTGCCTAGGCACAAGACAAGCCAAGTCATTGCCTACATCTGTGCTAGACTGAATCTTTAAATCATATTCAGCTTCCCTTCCCATAGGTACTAGCTGTTTTGCAAATGGTAAAACTGAAGGTTCAAGAACTTAAGGGATTAGATACTTTGCTTCCTTTCCTCTCTCTCTGCTTCCTTCCTCCCCGCCCCCGCCTTGTGTTCCTTTCTTGTTTGTTGCATTCTATATTTCTGCTACCATGTATCTAATATCCAAAAATTCTTATTTTCCTTGAATTTTTGCTTATTGTATATGAATCTTCTTATATCTTTACTAATACTAATGCGTTTTTTTTTCTGTTGGATATTCTCTCTATGTAGCTCTTGACCATGTATTTCACTTGTCTGTATCAGTAGAGAACTAACTAGCTAAATGCAAATGCTGGGCTGGTGGATAGTGCTGGTCAACATGAAGTGTGTTTCTAGGGTGGCCTGGGGTATGGCTTCTTAAGAAATCTCTGAAGTGAGAGCTACAGATCTAAGCTCTTGAGCTGATCTGATTCTCTCCAAGCTCATAGAAGTAGGTCAGGTACATTTTGCTGACCACTTTCTGAGAGTAAAATGAAGCAAACAGCCTGGGTTATTAGCCTTGTAAAAATTATTGTTATTTTAAAAAAAAATTATTGGAAAGGCAGAGTGTGTCTTTTCAGAGTTTTTCCAGGTTGCCTAATCAACTACTTAGATAATTTTCTGAATGCCTTTCTTCAGAAAAATGTATTACTCCTCTCTTGATTTATCTGTGCTTCATTATCTCTATTATAGTACTTGGCACACTAAATTCTCATAAGAGGATCTGTTTCTGCATTTGACTAAGACTGCTTATGACAGATGTAAACATGTCCATATCTCCTTAACACCTGGCATGACGTTTGAGGCTTGGTGGTAATCAGCTATCTTTCATTATTCTCGGCTGACCAAAAGTACTCAAAGAGATCTTATTTTTCTTTGCAGCAATAGCTACTTCTGGAATGCTAGATAGAAAAAAAAAGGTTTGGATTACTGTAATTATATGCCACTAGTTTGTCATCATTTAGAACAATTCCATTTCTTTTATATTAATGTGTGCTAGCTTAGTTAAATCTCCAATGTTAAAAATCCCTTTAATAATTTATTCAGCAAACGTTCATTCGCTGTCTTTTGCGTGCCTGCCATTGTGCTTTGTACCAGAACAAAATAGGTGAAATCAACTTAATTTCTGTGACCGTTGAGCGAACATGCCAGTGAAGGCTCCAGGATTCTGAGGAATAACTCAGTGTGTGCCACGTCTCAGATAAGCCAGCAGACCATGACCTGTGCTTTGTGCTTAGTACAGCTGATAGGCACCGATATATGGACAGGTACACTTACGGGACTGCTCTCAGGGAGTAGGGCAGCTTTGGGAAATCTCTTGGGGTATCTTTAGAGTGTGAGTCATAAATGAAGTTCTCATGATGACACTAAAAGCAAGAAGAGTCCATTAATCTCAGAATGTTTTGAAATCAAATCACTTCTGAATTTTGAAATGAGTAAGAGAAATTTTCTAGAATTCCAATGCTACTAGGAGAGAATTTCTCCGCTTGAGACAAAGTTTGAGAAGCAGTCTTCTAGGACCCAGAGATAATGTTAGGAATTGTTTTGCAGAAAACAGTTACAATGCTAGAAATGTCATCAAATCAAATTTTTCCTCTCCAAACTCATTATAAATATTTATCTCTGCTTGTTGGTAATGAGATTTTACACATCTGCTTTTAGAAAAGTGGTTTTTTTTTTTTTTTAACGCAGCTAGGTACTGCCAAATACTGGTATCAGTTCATAGCCACTGATTCTATTTTATCAGTTACTGTTTGGGTGTCTACTGACCCAGGATTTTATGTATATTTCAATCCCCAACATTCAGGTCCTATTTTTTATGATTAGATGTCTGTCTTTTTACCTTGTGTGTGCTCTTGCCAGTCGGACCTGGTTTTTCATTGCTAACCCCAGTGTCACATAGACGGCTCCATCTTAAGCCAGCTCCAGCAGGGCTAACATCTGTCTTTCCTGTACCATTTACCTACATGGCTAGCTTTCGTTGTGCTGTGGTTGCTTGCCAATCTCCCTGTAAACTTTTCTGCCCTGTCTTCATGACCTCATAACTGGCTCACGTGTTATCATGTTATTTGAGATCTTCCCTCCTTAATGTCTGCCTTCCTTCTCCCCCTTATCACTGGGCTGGAGCCGAACTTCTGTCTCAATTTATTCACCTCCCTTAGTGTATCTAACTTTTGTGGGCTCCCTCTTCCCCGATATGGCTTGTCTGTTGACCACTTAAATTGCAGTTCTGGACCCAAGAAAGGAGAATTAAGAAAATTAACAGGCCCTGGGCTTTTCCCAAGACAGCAGCAAATGGATTTTACATGATTTTAGAAAAGTTCCCCAAATTTTGCAAACAGCAGGACCTTCTAGAAGGTAATACATTTTCATGATTTAGATTGGTGGAAGGTACAGTGACAGTTATCTAAGCACTGAGGGCGAGTGATCCTGACCTTTGAGTATTCGGGAACAGACAGTGAAGCTTTCAGAGCTGAAAAGATGCGGGTTGTTGCTGAAGTCAAAGGGGAGAATACGAAGGAGGTTTCCAAGGTCCAGGTGACTCAGAAAGTGCAGGTTCAGATCTAGATGATACAGGGTATTCCAAAGTCTAAGCTACGAAGAGGGTGTGGATTTGGCCAATGTTCAACATTCAGATGAACAGTTAGGAACACACTCCTAGAAGTTCAAAGACTCAGAGGAGTTGGGGGTTATCGTTTAGCTGGGTGACTGTCAAACAAAGCAAGCCTAGTGAGTTTCGCTGACGTCCGCCCGACTGGTGCCATCCTTTGCAGACAGGTGAGGTGAGGCAAGGTGGGTGGCGTGGGTATGCTGGGCATTACAAGGACAAGCCCGAGGGCAGCAAGTGAAGGAGGACTTGGGTACATGCCTGGTGTGGTCGGACTGTATGCTGCATGGAGGAAAGTCTTCCTGCCTCCTATAGTATTTGAAGGAAGGATACTGGAAAGCTTTGAAAAGACTGATGTTGGAGGCCAGGTTGAGTTTCAAAGGAAGAAAAGGATACTGACACCATCATGTTGAAACCAAGATGGCTAACACAGAGAAGGCAAAACAAGCCTAATTATTGCTGTACTTATTTGATTAGTCCAGGTTCGTCACACTGGAGAAAACATATGAGAAGTTTTGTTGTTGAATGTGTATAAAATAATTCTTTTTATCTAAGTTATTTTTGGAAGAATTTGAATGGGTATGAGTTGGGAACCTAATAAATAAGTATTGTTTGGAAGCCAAATTAAAAAAAAAAAAAAGACCACAGACTCAGTAATGGCAACCTCTTCAGTTCCCTGCATATTATTTTTACTCAGGTAGATTCCTTAATATTTACTCATCTCAGAACCTGAAGGGTTAAGATTCTTCTCCGTTACAATATTCAAAACTTAGCAACTTAGAGAGAATCTGAGACTTTTTTCCTTACCTTACTTTTTGATTGTCCAGAGTAATGTTAACTTCTTTGTTTATTTTTACTTTCTTATTTTATTTGAAGGGCACAGAGGCACAGAAAGTGACAGAGAGGTAAAAAGGTGGAAACAGACTGACTGTCCACCTGCTGGTTACTCTCCTAAATGCTTGAAATAATCGTGGGTAGGGACAGATTGAAGCTGGGAGACTAGAACTCATTTCAGATTTCTGTTTTTGGTGGCAGAGGCCCAGGTACTTGTGCCATCACCTGTTGCCTCTAAAAGTACATATTAGGAAGAAGCTGGAATTACAAATCGAGCTGGAACTTGAAGTTGGGCACTCTGGTATGCTATGCTGGCATTTCAAAGTGCTGTGACAGATGCCTGAACACTACAGTCACTTTAAAGGTGAAGAATTTAATGTCCAGCTATTTTAACTTGTGACAAAGTCAAGACACCAGGGAAGACTTCTTCTTTCTATGTGCAGTGTTCTCTGAGGGAAAAGGAATGGGAGATGAGGATGGAAGAATATGATGTCCTGTCAGTGTGAGATGTAGCTAATAACATGGGGAAGAGATGGATCAAGGGCCAGTGGTTCTCTAGTACACCAAAGTAATTTAGGGGCATGTTACAATGGCTCAATTGGCCAGTCCTTCTTTTGCACTCTTGCAAGCTCTGGGATTTTTATAGGCACTGGTTTGTAGAATCAGCTGCTCCACTTCCCTTCCAGCTCCCTGCTTGTGGCCTGGGAAAGCAGTAGAGGATGGTCCCAAACCTCACAACCCTGTACCTACATGTGAGACCCGGAAGAATCTTCTGGCTCCTCGCTTTAGATCAGCCCAACTCTGGTCATTGCAGGAGTGAACCAGTGGATGGAAGGTTTTGTCTCTCCTTCTCTATGTATAAATCTAATTTTCCAATAAAATATGTAAATAACAAAGCAAAACAAACTAATACCAATCACAGATTGGAAGATACTGGGAAGAGGCACCTGAAAATGTAACTGAAGTATCAGAGCTATCATTCTTGAGTCACAGCATACAAATTACTGCAACAAAGTATTAAAAATTAAGATGGCATGGGGGAACTCCTGGAGGCTTAAATAAGAGGAATCAGAAATAAGACAACCTTGATAGTGAGGAACAATATAAAAATGTGTCCCAAAGGGGTATAAAGAGTTTACTGGAAAAACTGAACAAGGGTGATTTGTGTGGGAGTGGGGGTAGGGACTCAGCAATTGACTCACCTGAGTGTGGGATTGGCATGTCCATATCCATAGGAGAGGGCAGACTAAACATTGGGGCCGATGCCACTGTGCTGAGGAAGAATTTGTTTTCTGTTAAAGCTACGTTTAAGACTTTAACTGGTTTGATGAGGCCCATTCATATTGCTCAAGGTTATTGTCTTTTTAAAAAGTCTACTGTCTGTAGTTGTTGCTACATCTGTAAGATGTCATCATAGCAATACCTAGATTCATGTTTGATGAAGTAACTGACTGCTACATCCTAGCCAAGTTGGTGTGCAAAATTAACCATCACAGAGAGGAGGATACAAGTGGGAGCCCCAGCCAACAAAGTCAGGAAGAGCGGGTAAATGAAAAGCCATAAAACAAAACCAACAATAGGATTAAAATAGGAAATTTAGAACACCATGAAGTTAAGTAACATGCCATTGAATGACCAATATGTCACTGAAGAAATGAAAAAAAAATAAATAAGCATTCTTGATGCAAACAACACTACTGTGTGACCTATGTATAATAAGTGTGCACTAGGGATTGTCATATCCAGATGTGCAGATACAATGCAGTATGCATCTCTAGTTCCAAATCAGAGATGGACTCCCAATGAAACTGTTAAACATATCTGGACAATAGGATGCTGGACTCTGCCATTGTCCATACTTACAGTGTCAGGATATACTTACATAGCAGAATGGTGGATTTATGAAGGATATACTACTGTAGTAATATGGGGGTATTCATTGGGGAGAGGGGTCTTGGGGATCATGGAAGGAAAATCCCAGAGCCTATGGAAGTGTAAAATAAAATAATAATTTAAAAAAGAAAGAAGAAGTAGTAGCAGCAGTAGTAGTAGTAGAAGAAGGTCAATCATCATAAATGCAAAAGAACAATCAAAACTCAGAAACCAGGCCCGGCGCGATAAGATAATGGTTAAAGACCTTACCTTGCACATGCCGGGATCCCATATGGTCATTGGTTCTAATCGCAGCAGCCCCACTTCCCTTCCAGCTCCCTGCTTGTGGCCTGGGAAAGCAGTTGAGGACGGCCCAAAGCCTTGGGACCCTGCACCCACATGGGAGACCCGGAAGAGCTCCTGGCTTGGGATTGGCTCAGCTCCAGCCATTGCAGCCTCCTAGGGAGTGAACCATCAGAAGGAAGATCTTCCTCTCTGTCTCTCCTCCTCTCTGTATATCTGCCTTTCCAATAAAAATAAATAAATCTCAAAAAAAAAAAAACCAACAGAAACCCAGGAGCACTGAAGTCCTATAACAGATAATTAGATGAAAACCACAAATCCTGATGTTCTGCTAACTTTAAGGCAAATTGTAATAAAGGCTTTGAATATGAATGATATAACAACAAAACGCTTGGAAGTAACTAGTCATCTGAACTTCTGTGTAAAAATTCACAAATTTTGTTTCAATACAAAATTAATGTTTGCAGAAGACAATTTGAATGTATACATGATTAAATATATAATGTAGACTGACTTTAATTATACATAAAATCATTTGGAGAGACCAGTGTTGTGGGATAGTGAATAAAGCTGCTGCCTGTGCTGCTGGCATCCCATAATGGTGCCTGTTGTCCTCTTAGCTACTGCACTTCCAGCTCCCTGCCAGTAGCTTGGGAAAAGCAATGGAAGATGACCCAAATGTTTAGGTGCCTGAAACCTACTTGGCAGACCCAAATGAGACTCCTGGCTCCTGGCTTTGACCTGATCCAGTGCCAGCTGTTACTGCCATTTGGGACATAAATCAGTGCATGGAAGATTTCTTTCTGTCTCTATCTTTTTGTAGGTATGCTTTCAAATAAATGAATAAATCTTAAAAAAATAATCTGGGGAAATATTTGAAAACTACTGCTCCATTCACCAAAGTTATGGGAGGTTCTAAGCAACTGATATTCAGCTGGGCTTCAGAATTAAAACCTGAAAATTAAACCCAAATCACACACATAACAAAGCATCACTCTGAATGTTTGTTTTAAAGTTTATACATTATAGAACACCATGTGTCAGAGATATTCAAATATATTTATGTTTGTTTCTGATGTTTGAGGATGTGGTAGTCCATTGTCATCTAACCCCTGTACTCTAGTGTGGCAATAGGGGCTCTTAATTATTAGACTAGATGTTCCCTCTTTCTTTTTGTCTTGTTTTCCACACTGCTTTGGGGATTGGAAATGTTTATTTAGAGCAGTATTATAGTGTGTAATCTCTACATTTAGAATTTGTGAGGTTTATTTACCAAGGAAATTACTTTGGGACTAACATTTTCTCGTACCATATTTCAACAACTTAGCTTAAGGCCACTAGTACCAGATGAGCTTAATGCTACCATTTACTATAATTTACTGACCACACTGATAGCAAGTTTCATTATAAACCTGTAACCCTTTCTCAGTACAGATTACATGTATTAGGAATTCTGAGTCTACTCAAACAGAAAAACAGTGAAATTTAATTGATTAATGGGTTTGGAGAATTAGAAGACTTGGTTCCTGTTCCTGTTCCTGTTCTGGCATTTGACCATTATGTGACTTTGGCACGTAAGCCACATTATCTCATTAAATACTGAGAACCTTAAGTTGCCCACCCCAAAAATAGGAGCAAAATGCTTTCAAAAAGTATTTGACATAACAGGATTTGACATAAGAGAATGAAAAGAAAAGCATGTCTTTAATGGTAAACATTGTAAAATGTAAAATGCAATTATTTTATGATCAAGTACTTTGTATTGGTTCAGAATTTTTGTTACGATTCAGTCACTTTTTAAAATGTGTTGGTTTTAAACTATGACACAAAGTTTACATAACAAGGAAACTGAAATTTCTGTGGTAAGGGTTTTTGATTATTTTAGGGAAAAGAATGAGCAGAGTATATAAAAAGTTGGTTACTGTATTATTCTTATGCATGTGTTGATTGTATTAAGTAAAATTTTAAGGAAAAAAAATCCCTACAGTTACCTATGATGTACTAGACATGGACTTTAATCTTTTGACACTATGGTTCTTACAGTACTTTTCTCCTGCCTAAATTGCCCAATCAGAAAGAGCTGTGCTCTCCCTGTCACTTAAAAGTCAGGCTCAGCTGTGTAATCCTGCAGTCTGTTTTCGTCCACTGGAGGGAAGAAGGAACTCTATTGTTTTCTGGTAAAACAGGTTTATGCAACAGCCAGAACAATGGCTCGTAGGAAACCTTCGGCAACTAATATATACAAAATACTATGTATTGTAAGTACATTTCTTGATTTTGCTCTTTCTAGTTTCATAACAAGCATTAGAAGTGTGCAACTCTTGGTGTTGCTATTTAAATGCAAAATTTTTCAATAACTATATTCAGCTTTGATCCTTATGAAAAGTGTAGTGCAAGTTAATATTCTTAGTTCTGTTTTGCAAGTGGGAACTTTTGGGTAACAGCAAGTTAATATTTGATTAAAAAGTCAGAATCCATGACACTTTGCAGTACTACTTTCTTGGCATGGTTATATTCACCGCTCCAGTTCAGCTCTCTATGCTTGAACATTTTAAGACCAGAAACAAGAATTCAACAACTCTATATCTTAGATTCTTTGCTGCACTATTTTTCTCCTGCTTCACTCAACCATCAAGATAGTCTGTTTTATCTCTTTTTCTTCTATTTTTATGTCATAAAATCTCGTGTCCTAAAGAAATGAAATTTTAAACCTTCCCATTACTTTGCTGCTTTTTCTTTTCACCATCAAACTTGGGGATACACGGGATCCATGCATCATCTCAGTTTTCTCACACTCATCCATCCACCCTTTGTGCTCTGGCTTTAGACTGTGCTTGAAATCTCTTCTCTCCCATACCCACTGCTGCTTCCACAGATGGTATTGAGCAGTTTCTCATTTTGAATGTTTTTTTTTTCCATGTTGACATTGAAATTCTCCTTCTATGATTTTCTCATTTCTTGCATTCTGGAAACACTTACTTTGCTCTCGCTACATATCTCATGTGCACATTGCCTCAGAGCACATCCTGAGATCTTTTACTTTGATGATTTCACCTTTTCTTGTAGGTCTAAGATTGAGATATTTAATAAAACTACCCAGAAAACACTGTCTCTCACCATTTGTTACATCCTTGGTATGTGATTTCTAAAGCCTTCCTGATGCCTGACCTCAAGACAAAAATCAAGTGAATTATTCCCTTCTTACACCTTGCTATGGCTTTCTTTTAATCAAAGTCACAACACGCTGTCTCTCCAGCATTGTTAAAAAGAGCAAATGATATCAGGTGCATCAGCATTGAAACCGTAACATTGACCATAACAAAATAAATCTTCAGTATGTGAGTGAAATTAAATGATGACAGTTTTGATGCAAAAACTTTTGAATTTCTTGAGTTTTTTCATAATGCACTTTATTCACACACTTTTGAAATATTCTTGTGTTTTATTTATTCTTCTGAGAATTTTAGAGCTTTCTTTCTAGCCACTACACTTTTATAGTTTTCTTTCTTATCAATTGAAGAAATGATTGATCCTCAAGAACAAAACCTTTGCACAATCTATTCTCCTTCTTTTATTCATCCAACGGTTTTTAGTATATAAAAAGGAGCAAGCGTTTTAAAAGTATGATTTCAAAAGTGCCCTATTTTTTCTAAGTTTAAACAAAATTTTATTACAAATTATTTGCAATGTTCTTGGAATTATTTTTTTTTTAGCAAAGCTAAAGCCAAATTTTGGGTTGCCTTTAGGCCTTTGGAGTTCTGAGTATTCTTCCCATTATGTGCACATTTTAAGAAGGCTTCAGATACATGTGAAACTCCAAATCAAGACACTTTTTCAAAATGACATATTGAGTAAATCACTGTAAAAAGATTAAAAATTAAACTTTTACATTCAAGAAACGTATACAGTGACAAAGAAAGCAAACCACTAATGCGTAAGAGAAATACAGGATCAGTAAGAAACATATATTTAATAGTACAAAAATTGTGAAGAATCTAAGGAAAGTTAGCCAGTTTAAGTAGTGAAAAAACTAGAGATAATATATCCACCAGGAGCTATTGACTTGTAAATCTATGCTGTTTTTGTTATATAGAGTTTCTTGACATTGGTTGTATAGCTTTGTGCCTAGGGATACTTATCAGAAATGACAAGATGCAAACAATATTCTAAATAACCATTTCTGTCCGCTTCCAGTCTCCATCCATTCTCCTGAATGAACCATAATGAAAAGGCCACTGACCTTTGCAAAATATTGAGACTTTATGTACCATGTTTTTCATCATGAGCTTTACTTCTATTGAAAAAGTTAGAGCTGTTACTATTTCCAGTTGATTTTCAGAACGGAAAAACTTCCCCAAATCATTGGTTTATGTAATTTCTTATTAGATAAGTACATTTTCATGTGCTTTGTTCCTTCTGTGGAACTTGTAGGACTGTGCTTTAAATGGCCGGGTAGCAAAGGTTGTTAGATAATCCTTCCCCATTCTTCACTACACTGTGAAGTGTTGAACTTCTGTTAACCTGAATGTTTATCATTGAACATAAAAACAGGGAAGAGGGCAGAGAGACAGGGATTCCATTGAATTGTCTTATGGCTTAATCTAATCATAGCATAAAGTCCGCTACATAGAGAGCTTCATCAGCAATATTGAACATGAATGACACAGCAGTCTTCCATAAAGAAGCTTCAAAACTACTCCAAATCCTTTGTTTCAACAACTGAGAAAAGTGTATCACTTGCAAGCTATTTTTGGGGGCACTATATTTTATATACATGAAATGTGCTCATTTTCTTCTGATGGACCCAGTAGGAAAAATAGCAAAATCCTTGTTTTCTAGAGATGAAGTTATTAAAGATTTCACAATTCTTGAATTCATTTAGTTACAGGAATTCATTACACACACAGATTAATTTAGATACATAAATGCATTTAGGTACATTTAGAAAAATGGCCCAAAATAAAGTGATTCTTAAAGTTTTAATTTTTACTTGAACTCACTGTATCTGAATTATAGATGTATATGAAAGTATCTGTAATATATGCTGCTATAAGAAGTTCTTCCCAGACCTTCTTCTTTGTTTTCAGACAGTAAAGAAAATAATGTTATCACCCTCTTAGTTGAATCTTAGATACTGCCTAACTTGTATGATACAGGTATCACATATCTATGAAGAGAGGAGGGTGATCTATGTATTTGCGTTTTTTTAAAAAGAGTGAAACTTATCTTTCCCCTTCCTTTTCCTAAAATAGGTCCTTCTTGCTTTGCTGGTGATCGTGTCACTTGGATTAGGCCTGGGGCTTGGACTCAGGAAACCAGAAGGGCAAGGTATTTCCCAAATATTTCCTTATTCCTTTTGTTTGGCCTTCATCCATTACAGCTTGTCTCTTCTCCAGGCTGGCCTTTCATTCCCATTGAGCAGGAACCCACATTGTGGTCAGTGCCATCCACTCTCATTTCTGGATTTTCCTGTTTCACCCTCACACACGAACATTTGCTTCCAAGGAGAGTCCTATTATTCTATGACTGATTGTTTACCTGTCTTCATCTTCAGAGGAGACTGATAACTGGTTCCAAGACTTTCTGCTCAACTTCCTTCTTTAAGCATAAATGACGACAAAGGATCCAGCCACCTGTTCTCAGGGTCTTTGTTGCTTTGCACCTGAAATCTCATTTGCTCTTCCAATACCTTTATCTCACATTAACGTTATCCTGTCTCTGAAATCTTGCTGTTTCTTGTTAGGCATTGTCAAGTTCTTAAAAGCCATGTATAATGAAGACCTCAAATTTTTGAAAAGCAAAAGAAAGTAGGAAATACATACCACCCATAAAATGAAGGCCTTTCATTTTTTTCTGTAGTCTATTAATGTGAAAAATAAATACACTGTATACAAATGATTATGTGAGAATTGCTTCCTGCAGTCTCCTTGTGTATTGTTTTCATTTTTTACTGAGATGAAGTATGTATTTGGTTTCTAGATCATTCCTTTTCTTTTTCAATCTGACTGATAACTTCTGATTGGGTCACAGTGAGGAAGATCACTCTCTCTGTCTCTCATTCGAGCGAGTCTTAGTGAGGTTGACTGATCATTTTCAAGCTGTATTCTTCCTAGGCAGGCAGATCTTTGAGATAGCAGCTAAGATACTCTAAGATACTGGTTGGGATACCCACATCCCACATTGGAGTGCCTGGCTTTGAATTCTGGCACTAGATCCTGATTCCAGCTCTATGCTGATGTGGTTTCTTACATGTAGTATGTGAAAGTGCAAGTAACTGGATTGCATTACCAGCTGTCAGCTTTCACTAACCCCAGTTATTGCAGAAATTTGCAGAGTCAACTAGCAGATGTAGTCTTTTGCAGTCTCTCTGTTTCTCAGAAAAATTCATGTGTGTGTGTGTGTGTGTGTGTGTGTGTGAGGAAGAGAGAGAGAGAGAGAGAAATTGAAGTTAAAGCTGAAAATTACTGTGTTCACTTGGTCACTGGTTTGCTGTGTTTCTAAGCAGTAGTGCTTGAGGCTACCATGGTGGTATAACTAGCTAGTCCTGCACCTGGGGCACTGGCATCCCATATGGGCACTGGTTCATGTCCTAGCTGCTCTGTTTATGATCCAGCTCCCACTTATGGCCTAGAAAAGCAGCCGACTGCCCCAGTGTGGGAGACCCAGAAGAAACGATTGACTCCTGGCTTTGGATTGGCTCAGCTCAGGCCAGTATAGCCATTTGGGGAGTAAATCAGTGGATGAAAGTGATCTCTCTCTCTCTCTCTCTCTCTCTCTTTTTCCTCTCTCTCTCTCTCTCTCTCTTGCTCTCTCTCTGTCACACACACACACACACACACACACACACACACACACTCTCTCTCTCTCTCGCTCTCCCTCTGTGTGTGTATGTGTGTGTCTTCTTTCTGTAAATCTGCCTTTCAAATAAAAATAAAAATAAAAATAAATCTTAAAAATAAAAAGTAGGGACCTGCTTTTTGGTGGCACCTTAATGGCTAAAGTCCTTCCCTTGCGTGCACTGGGATCCCATATGGGTGCTGGTTCATGTCCGGCTGTCCCCACTTCCCAACCAGCTCCCTGCCTGTGGTCTGGGAGAGCAGTTGAGGATGGCCCAAAGCTTTGGAACCCTGCACCCACATGGGAAACCTGGAAGAGGCTCCTGGCTCCTGGCTTTGGATTGGCTCAGCTCTAGCTGTTGCAGCTGCCTAGGGAGTGAATCAGCGGATAGAAATCTTTTCTTTGTTTTTTTCTCCTCTCTGAATGTCTGCTTTTCCAATAAAAATAAATAAATCTTTAAAAAAAGAAAAAGCAGTAATGCCAGTCCTTCTAAGCTCTAATGAAGTCAGCAGTCCATTTTGGTGCTAATATTCTGATGCAAGTATACAATTGGCATTATGTATTGGTTATCTTATCCCCCAAATCACATAAATTGATTACAAAATCATATAATGGTACTAATCCTAAACAAAATCTCTTGTTCCAGTTCTTTTATTAACTCCCTTCTTTACCTTAATATATCTATTGGCTGATTTCCGAGATTCATGTTCTTATTCTCTTCCCTTTGCCTCAGTCTATCGGGGCTTTTAGACATAATCCCCTTCCATCTCCTACAATGCAACATTTGTGTTCACTGCCCGCCTTGCTTTTGCTGACACCTTTACCATAATAATTCCTTCTTATTATCCCTCACCATTTAAAATATTCACCTTCTTTACATTTTTTGGCCATATTTACTTCTCTTCACCCAACCGTGGATGCTCCTCTTCTCCCGAGAGCCCACCTGCTGTAGGCAATGCATATTCTGCTCGGGTGAGTTTAACAATGTGTATTTGTTCCTGCCCATTTACTATTTTGTGTTCACTTATTTTTTTATTCTTCAAAAGTTGACTACGTGCTTGGTATTATTCTATTTTTTGAGAATCCAAAGAGAAAGAGAACAGAAAGATATTTCACATGTATATTCTACCTGAAACACAGGTAGTACAAATTCAAATAACACATATTAGAGAATATGCTTTGGAATAATTACAATCAAAAAGAGGAATTTCAGCTATGAAATCAGGGTGAGGTGTGTGTGGGGATGGTGGAAGAGAGGTATGGAAAACATAACTATTGAATTAAGATCCAACAGAAGTCAAGATAGGAGCCACTATTGTAGCATTGCATGTAAAGCTGCCTACTGTGCTAGCATCCAATATGGACTCTGATTTGTGCACAGGTCACTATTTACAATCTAGCTCCCTCCCAATAGCCAAGAAAAAGCAGTGGAAGACAAAAATTGCCAAGTGCTTTGGGTTCTTGCTGCCCACCTAGGAGATCCAGGTGAAGCTCCTGGCTTCAGCTTGGCCCAGCACTGGCCTTCTGGGGAGTGAACCAGCAGATGAAAGCCCTATCTACCTGTCTCTGTAACTCTTCCAAATAAATAAATCAATCTTTAAAAAACGTGCAGGAGAAATATAGGGATACTTCTACAGAAAACATTTCAGGTATGGAGGAATGTACGGGGTCTAAGGCAGGAGTTCACTTGCCATGTCCTATTAAAAGAATAACAGAGATTATGAACTAGAACTTCGAGTATCAGAAGGAAGTAGTCATAAATTAGATTAGCTAGATAAAGGAAACCAGATAACATAAGAGTTGTTGCACAGCTTGGTCCTTAGCTTTCATTTTGAGTATAATAAGAAGTAATCGAAGGATTTAAACAGAGGAATGACATACTGTGGTATATTTTTCAATAGAATCCCTAGGGTTGCTGTGTTAGTTATATACATGGTAGAATAGAGACAGGTAAAAAGAACAACCAAGAGATTATTGCAACCTAAGTTGCGGTACTTGCAAATCCAAAAATTGAGTTAAAGTGATGCCTAGTAAAAAGTACTTGTAACTAGCACAAAGTATTTGGATTGTGGGTATATTTTGATGTGGTAGATGAGTTTTATTGACAGACTGAATATGGAAGGAGAAAGAGAGGTGTCGATAATGACCCAAAGAATTTTTGGCATGAAAGTCTGGAAATATGAAACTTCCATAACTGATATGGCAAAGAATCTAGGAGAAGCTGGCATGGGGGAAGAAACCAGGTACTCAGTTGTGGAATGCTATAAATATCTGTAGATATATTTTAACATTTTAATATCTATAGATACCTAAGTGAAGAAGATAGATAAATGAAGCTTATCCTAGGGGAAGCTGTCTGGGCATACCCTGTATGTATATTGGCATCATATATAGAATTTTAAATCATATGCCTGGATTGCACCAACCTTAAATAACCAGGGAGGTGAAGAAAGAAATTCAGGAGACCCAGAAAGAGTGGTTAGGAAAGTGGGTGGAAAGCAAGGGGTCTCTTGGAAACTAAATGCAGAAAAGTCTCAAAAGTTAATGTAAAAATGGAAAGGCCATAATAAAAATTGCGGTTTTTCCATATCATTTTATTCTTATTACTTCATTGACCTGTTCTTAAGATAACTAAAATTGCTGTATTTGCATCTTGTGCATGGTACTCTTAGGCACGTGTCCAATGTGCCTTCTGACCTATGCCCTCTTAAGTGCTGAGGATATTTGCTTTATAATATGTTTGGGAATAGGATTCTGACCTAAGCATGTAAGTAGTTACAGGTTGAATTCCAGGAAGGCTGCCACAACGTGCTCAATTTTCTCTGCATTGTTTCTTCTATAGACAAGCGTTTTTTTTTTTCTTTCATTTTTTTTTTTTCCAGAAAGACATTGTTTATATTTTAGGGTTTTTTTTTTTTTGGTTTGTTTTTTCGAGAGTCATTCATTTTCCTCGAAAGTCAGAGTTATAAAAAAAGAGAGCAAGAGAGAGAGAGAGGGAAAGAGATATCTCCCATCCGTTGGTTCACTACCCAAATAATTACAATGACCAGAGCTCTGAACTGGGTCATGAACTTGGGTGCAGGGGTCCAGGAACTTGGACCATCATTTGCTACTCTCTCAGATCAGGGCCATCACCATAGGAGGAGGATTAGTTTGCTTTGCTGTCATCACAGCAGTATACATTTCCAAAGGATTTTTTGAAAACGCACTAGAATTATTATACATATTTGAAGTAAAATATTCACTACTTCAAAGATAGACTTTTTAAGCTATTGATAGATTTGAATATGTGGTAGAAAATCTGCTGTTTTTTCATCAGGTTTTCTTTCATTATAGCTACTATAGCTACTGTGTTTCCTAATTCAGAGTCGAATTAGATTATCATCACATTATTATATTTTTTCTAGTAATTCTGTCCATATCACAGTAATATTATATTTTTACTTTTACATTTCTCAATTTTCCCTCCTACCATGCTTTATTTCTTTGTCTATTTCTTCCAGTGTCCAAAAAATATACTTTTAAGATTTTTGTTGCATCGTCATATAACTTCCCAAAAGATTTTTCCAATAAACGCTGTCAGTAAGAATGAATCTTATTGATTTGATTGCTAGTGAAAAATTATTGTATGTTTCAGAAGGTTACTAATCTTTTGAAACAGTGCTTTGCAAATCATGTGTCTTCCGTTGTGTGCCCCTTGGGGTCACTGATAGTGGGATGAATGTGAGGAATCTATCACTTGAGGATTACCACTTTCAATGCATCTATTTCAGCCCTCACCTTCTTTAACCCCTTTTGTGTATTTTGTTTTTTTTGTTGTTGTTTTTTGTTTGTTTTTGCATTAATGTCCATTTTATTCGTTTAACCAAGCCTTAATATCTAAAACAAATTGCCAAATCCAAAGTGATTTAGATTTTCTTTCTTTCTTTTTTTTTTAATATGTGATACAGTTTTATAGGCAAAAGTGCATATGCCAAAGTGTGGTTCTTACCCGGTTGACTCCTGAGACATCTATGTTTAATGAAGCCTTTAAAATACTTTTTTGTCTATTTTGTGAAGCAAGTATATCAAACGGCCTCCTCCTCTCCCCTAGTATTATGTAGTGTTCACCGTTGCGTTTTCTTCATAAAAAAATATTTATTTTGCTTGAAAGTTAGGAAGAGAGAGAAAGAAAGAGAAAGAGAGGAAAAGACAGAAAAATTATTCATCTTCTGGTTTATTCATGACTGCTATTGACAGAGCTGAAACAATCTGAAGCTGAGTGCCAGGAGTGTCTTACGGTTTTCCATGTGGGTGCAGGACTTGGGCCATCCTCCATTGCTTTCCTAGGCCACTAGCAGGGAGTTGGATAGGAAATAGAGCAGCCGGGATTTAATTTGGTATCCATTTGGGATGCTGGTGCCACAGTTAGAGGATTGTGCTGTGCCACCATGCAGCCCCTTTACCATTGCTTTTCATTTGTACTTAAGAAAAAACTTAATATAAAGTTTTTAACCATCTTTTACCTAGCATATAATTAAATGTAGTAATACCAAAACAATAGAATGAATAATTAAATTTCAATAAACACAATAATGCTTAAGTAAGGAAATAAACAAATTATAGAATAAACAACTAAATCTAAACAATATAATGATTTTTAAGAGGTGAGGACAAGGTATGCATAGTTGAATTCTTTCAGGTATATCATCATATCTTCCTTTTCCTCAGGGAATCCTTTAGGGTTCAAAGCAGGAAGCAAAAATCACAAGCGAACTTACAAATTGATTTTCATGGTAATACAGAGTAAGAAGTTGCATTTACCTGGACACACATTCCTGGTGCAACAAGAACTGCAGTGTTTCTGTTGTTGCTTGTCAATGGCATGATAATGACTCCAAAACCAGAAACTTTACTTTGTCTTCCTCTTCCCTGAACTCCAGACTCAAATATCCATATACATTCCCATGGATAGCTAAGAAAACTGAGTTTATCATCTTTGTAGGTTCTTGCCCTACCTGCATGTTAGAAGGCATTTGCGATCATCCGTCTTCTTCACTTCATATGTAAAACATCCCACCTATTAATTGTGGTTTAATTTCTCTGAGCTTTATTTGCATTTTCCATGGATATGTTGTGGCAACTAACTTACTCCAGGTCCTCATCAATTTTGTTTTGGGTTAAAAATCTCATGATTGACTGAGGAGTTTCCATTCCTGCTATTCCCCTTCACCAGTTTTCTAGAATAAGTTTCTAAAATGCAATCCTAATTACTTCTTGTCTGTTTATGATTTATGGATTTCCTTCAGACTTCTTAGTATGATATAGCACATTTTCCCCAACACTTCATCTTTGTCTTTGAAATTTACTTCTTCACCATTGTGACCTATCTGCTGTTCCCCAAATTTTCTTTTCTTAGCTTCGCTGGTTTTAAAAGTCCTGATCCATCTCCCCAGACTCTGTGAGCATGCCCATGCCCGTCCCAGTTTTTGTTTCTCTCCTTCTGTGCTCCATGTGCTTTCGTCATGTAGGAGTAACTCACTATCACGATACGCTGGCAGATCACATAGCACCATACAAATCATCTATTTGTGTGTCCTGGTCTGTGTAATGTACTTCTGCATGCTTCCACCATTTCTTATGAGCTGTTGGATAACTTCTAAATGCAGGCGTCCCTGTTTTCCTCACTCTACAGGAAGCTGCAGGAAAAAGTGCTTTGATTCATCATTCAGAGGACTGGAGGGCTGCCGATGTGATACGGGTTGTGAGGCTCGTGGTGATTGCTGCTGGGATTTTACAGACACCTGTGTGGCAGCAAGTAAGATTGCCAAAATGTGTTTTTTTAGCTTGTTGATTGTGATATCATTACTGTGTGTTCAAATTTTACCTATACACTCAATGTATTAAGGTTATCACACCCATTTACTACAAAGTGGGTAGATTAATCAACAGAAATTCCCTGTCTCACAGTTATACAGACTGCAATACTACATTATAGATGTTGGCAAGATTGGGTGCTTCTGGAGGCTATGCAGGGAAGTTCAGTCAACACCTCTCTCACTGCAAACCCTGCCTCCTTTGTCACATAGCCTGTGTCTCTTTGTATCCAAGGTTTCCTTTTTATAAGGATATTAGGCATATTTGATTAGGACCGATACAGGAGACCTCATTTTACCTAATTTTCTACAAGTAATATTAGCTTATTTCTATATAAGGACACAGTCACAAATATGAGTTAGGACTTTAGCATCTTTTGAGGGGGGGATATTAGTATCATTTCATTTATAGTGCTAATTTCCTTTGTAATATATATATTATATATGAATATGTATATCATATTACATATAATTAATGTTGAGGACTAATAGTCTGTGATGATGATGATAGTGCATAATTACAAAGCTTCAAGGGAGTTTTTATTATAGCTTATATTTAAACATCTGTAGCCTCATTTGAGTGGTTCTCAAACTTGAAAGTACATAAGACTCATTGGGAAGATATGATTCTTGGTTGTGCAGATTCTGGCACCTCACAGAGCACAATTTGTGAAATACTGTTATCTAAGTGAAAAGATTGTGGAAAGCAGAGGTTCTGTGATTAAACAAAAGCAAAGGTTAGAATAATAGAGCTCCATCCATTATGTGATCTGAAAAGGGTAAGAAGTGGAGGGAAAATTCACTACCAATAAGTTCTGTATTCCCAGTATATAATCTCATCAGATATTTTATTTTCTCAATAAAATACTGAAGAACTGTACATAAAATAGTAGCAAACAATGGTCACGACGTGTTTATCGAAACATAGGGCTAACGTTGGTTTTACTCACTATTTCCGACTATTTGGCAATGGGAAATAGCCTTCCTTAAGCGTCTTTGCTACCTACATTCAGCAATGAGATTTATATAAACTACTCTTATACTAAGTACAGAGTTTGAAAGAATAGCAAAGGTGTGTTTGGTAGCTGACCTAACACAACTGTCATCCCCAGCTGAGAGGTACTCCCACTTGCCTGCATTCTCAAGGATGTGGCTGTTTTCCTGATCCTGCTCTTCCTTGCTGTCTATTCATGGACAAGGCTGGACCAAACCATCCTTGCATGATAGTGACCAGTCAAGACTCAGGATTCTTCTTTGAGCACAGCCTGTACTCTCGGGCAGCAATGGGGCTGGTATGTGGAGTTTCTTCAAAGTAGCATACCTGTGAGACAGACTCGAGTCACACACTTATAAAACTGAATTTCTGTCTGCTATTCATGCCAGTGATGGAAGTAGTGTATTCTCTCTCTCTCTCTTTTTTCATTGTGCGTTTTGACTTATAATAAACATACAGGAAATGTATGACATTTGTATCCTTCGTATTAAATACTCAGGAGAAATGAAATGCTAAGCATTGAGTTGCTTAATTTTACAGCTCAACTATGGACATGCAATAAATTTCGCTGTGGAGAGACCAGACTGTCGTCCACCCTCTGCTCATGTGCAGATGACTGCTTGCAGAGGAAAGACTGCTGTACCGATTACAGCAGCGTCTGCCAAGGTAAGCCAGGATGCTCGTACACCTGCCTCTAGGACTTCAATGAGCTCCTTTTGGCTGCAAAACTTAACAGCAAGACAGAGAATCCCCAGTTACTCCACACGGATTAAAAGCTCAAATGTGTTTACTGGAGGAAGAAATGCACAAAAAAGAAGGAAATCCATTGACCATGTATTACGGAGAGAAAACAAGAGCTGAACATCCATATTTGCCTAGAAGATAAGGCCTTATTCTGTTCAATGACCACACCAAACATATGTGAGAGCTTCAAAACATTCATGGAAAATTGATATTATGAGAAAAATTTTGTGCATTAGTTTCTAAAAAATTGCACCAAATAGACTTATATTTTACTTTCATTTTTTTCTATGAATTTTTGAATCCCTCATCCCACTGCCCTGTATTTATGGTTTCAGTCCCTGATTGATAGACCCTTAAATTAAAACATTTGGAAAATTGGGAAGAGGTTATTTAAGCCCAGTAATTGAAACTATTGTGTCCTGAGTGGTTAGAGGTATACTCGGGGAATTAGTGCAGAGTCAAGATGAGATTTAATGTTATTCAGTTTTTTATTCTACCTGCCCACCACCTTATAAATGATATGAAAAATTTTAGGTGTCATCAATTCCTGAGGACACCTGATGAAATTTAGGAATAATATATATTCATGCCAGTGAGATTTCTTCAAACTCTCCACTCCTTTACTTATGACACCACATCCAACTAAGCTCTCTAACTTACACTTTCTTATTTTCACGTAAGAGAGGTGACTTTTAAGTTTGATTACTGAGATGGAAAGAAAATACAATAGTATAGCAGAATCATTATTAATCTATGAGTGGAAAACAACTTTTACGGTAAGAGGTGAATTGGTTTTGTAAAAATATAAAATCAGAGAAAAGGTGTCATTACAAAAGGAAATAAAAGCCTAATACGATAACTCCATCCTAAAAAAATAGTGATTGTCTAATATTTAGTAGTAACTATTGCATTAAGAAGATAATTTCACTGTAAAGAAATATTGAGTGGTTGGAAGGATGATTGTATCAAGTTTTAGATTTTTTTTCCCTTAACAAAATATACTCATAATTTCCCCTAAATTATAGATTTGCTGATGCAAATTCTAGAGTTCATATAATTCATTCATAAATTTTTCAATATGTACCTGAAATAGTTAAGGATTTAATAAAATTATAATACTGTTTATACATCCAAAACTAATGACCAAATTTTCTTTATCTCATAATATTTTAAAAAGGATTATAACAGAATCTAAGTAGGTTTTAAATGTCATAACTGATTAGCATATTTCAAGTCTATATTTTTAAAAATATATTCTCCCTTTTTTCAGCTTGTACTTTATTTTTGTTAGAGAAATGAGGTAGTTTGTCCTGTAGCATTTTGTAGTCATGGTTTCCTAATTGCATCCTCTGATTTGAGCGGTTTGTCATCTTTAAGGTTCAGTGTAATTTACTTCTTTGTTTTTCTGCAAGTGCACTTGGTAGGTGGTGTTGCTGCTTTTATCAAGAAGTATGTTGCACCTATTCCTGTGTTTTGGGGAGGATGCTAGTCATGGTTCCATGTTGGGAAACATTAGGGGAATATTGTTACTTTGATTTTTCAAATTAGCTGCAATGTTCTATTTTTTACAGTTATTAGTGCACAGAGAATAAGTTTCATGAATTTCATAAATGTGATTCCCAGAAGACAATGATACTTCCTTCCACACATCTCTCCTTCTCCAGCTCTTCCTTTTTTTTTCTTCTAATATTTTTGTGATAATATACTGACAATGTACTTTCTAGGCACAGCTCGATGTTTCTTTGAACAAAAAGTTCTAAAAATAAAAGGTAGATAGACCACTGTTTTGCAGGGGTATGGTCAAGCATTAGAGACAACAATCAAATCACAAGACGTCAATTTAACTATGTATTAAGGTTCTTCTGTACTCTCTTTATTAGCTACAACCAATCAGATAAAACATGATTTTGAGTCTGGGATATTTCACTAATAATATTCTGTTGCATCCATTTTGTTGCAGAAAGCAGGGTTTCATGGATTTCATTCTTTCTAGATTGAGTTGTATTCCGGAGTGTGTATATACCATGTCTTCTTCATTTCATTATTAGTCAGTGTAAATCTGGGGGCTGAAAAAGAAACATGCGTGTAGCAAGATATTATTTTTGGTCAAGGTTTTGAACATTTATTAAATCACCCCCCACTTACTATCAGCTATTGGCATCATAACTATTTATTTTTCCTTCTCTCTTCTTTATTTATATCTATTTATTAAAATTCACTTATTTTAGCAATTCAGAAAATGTTGTTCTGATGGGGGTAGGGAGGGAACATTATTGAGAAGCAGAAGAAACATTCCTTTCAGCTACAGGAATCTATTGTTTTTCTTGGTAAAGGATATCTTTCTGATGTTTCCTTGTTGTAGATTACAATCTGTGCAAGTCATTAGAAGCACTGCCCTTGCCAATTTGTCAAACAGCACTTCTTGTATGCTGAATTAAGTAGTTCAGGCAGACCATGTGTCTTGAACACTACTTTCGCGTGTCTTAAGAGTTTTGATTTTATGTTTTTCAGGAGAAACCCGATGGGCAGAAGAAGAGTGTGTCTCGGCCGACCAGTCTCAGTGTCCAGCAGGGTGAGGATGAATGACATGGGTATTTTTATCTTCCTCCTAAGGACTGGCACATGGGAATGTGAACCCTGGTGGCATTTCCTCATTTTGCTTATGTTTCAAAATAGAAAAGTAACACATTAGGATTCTGCTTGTGGCTTCCAAGTTACACCAGATTGTTTGCTTTACAGTGGGTACAGGGAATTTTTGTGGCAATGTACTATATTCATATGTTGTAGCAATGGCTTAAAAACTCAGTGGAGTATTAATAACCAGCATTTCTATGATCAAGACTCTCAATTGAAATTAGTTCTGCCAGAATTATTTTCTACTAGCAATCTGGTGCCTCAAATTTCTCCTTTTTGAACATAGGGAATAAGGCTTGTATATGGACATTGTTAACAATGAGAGGAAGCCTTTAAGGAGTAGATGGGAAGAGCTTTGGCACGTGCACCCAGGTGATGAACAGTAAGTGGCCTTGCTGACCCAGCCATGTACCAGCTCCACACATTTATGGCTATACTTCATGTTCTTTGCCCTGGTGTGAGGACACGTCCTCACCATCATCTCAGAGCCAGGAATTCCCCTTTTCTTTTGGAGCTATTGCCCTTGACACTTCTCTGCTTAGCAGTGAACGTATGGCAGTGATATAGAAGATAGTGCAATGAATTCTTGGCTATAGGAAGAATCTGAGGAAATATTTTTAAGTTATTTCACTTGATTTTAAGCAAAGACAAGTCTGTAGACTTTCTCCTCTTCCAACCTGGAAAACAAAACAAAATCATAATTTTTGAAATTGTTTCTAGAATTGTAAGGAAAACTGTTGCTAGTATCCAAAATTCTTTATTTCAAAACATGAAAATAGATTGAAAAGAACATGGATACAAGACCAGAAGTGCATACCCTCCAAATGTGGATAAAAACTGAGTGGAGTGTGTGTGAGTGTGTGTATGTGTGTGTGTGTGTGTGTGAGAGAGAGAGAGAGAGAGAGAGAGAGAGAGAGTCTATTGTTCTCAGTGCCTGTGCCTATTTGATTCAGGAAAACTAGACTTCCTGGATCCGAGAAAGGAGAAAGTGTACAAAGCAACATGGACTGTTTGTATTTTGTTTTAAATTATAGACTAATGTTAATTGTTTGCAATTTGTATCTTTTATTCTTCAAAACTGAAACCTTTTTTTTTAGATTTAAAGAAACATTGTTAGCCGAAGCCAGTCTGACATGTTAGCAGAGATTTTAACTCATGAAAAAATGAGCAGCCTGATTGAAAACCACACTCTGAGCCTTTTCAAAAAATGTAATTAAACACATTTTCATCAAGTTCATTTGAAATGTGAAAGCACAGACATGTTAGCCGTATTCAGGGAAGCAAGAGGCCAGGAGAGGAGGGGTGGAATGGATATGTCTTTGCCTTCCATCCTGTCTGCATGAGAAGAAAGAGAGAGCCCCTCCACGTTGCCAGACTTCATATGAGGCTGGAAGAGAAATGGTCACATAACACACTCTGGATTCCCTGCGGAGGTGAAATACTTGTTTGTTAAGTGGCCATTTGATTGATGGATAGGTGGATGAGATTCACACACACACACACACACACACACACACACACACACACACACACACACACACACGTTTCACCAACTGCTTCACTATCTATATGTCGCAATGGCTGGATCTGGGCCAGTCCAAAGCTAGAAGCCTAGAGTTTCCCTGGGGCCCAGAGACCCAGGAAGTTGGGCAAGCTCTTGCTGACTTTTCCAGGCCTTTAAAAAGAAGCAAGATAACAGGTAGACCAGTCTGGACTCAAACTGGGGTCAATATAGATTGACGGTACCGCAGGTGCAGTAACCTACTACAACATATGCTGGTCCCAAGTGGAGTGCTCTTTACGAAGGAAGGATGATATTTTGTTGTTTCCCAAGTACAGGGTAGTGATACATCAGCTCTGTACAGATTGTCAGACTGTCTAGCTTAAACATAAAGACTTTTAATGTCCCTGCCAATAAACAGACTACAGTTAGAGGTGACACACTCCATTAACCACTGCACAGGATCCTCATTGTTTTCTTTGTATGAATTCTAAGACCTGTCAGTTGTCTCTAACTACTTTAAGTGCAGTGTCCACAAAATTGGGTACTTGCTGTACAAGTTGGCTTAAAGAATTGGTTACATCCACTAAAACAATTGTTGGGTTTTAAATATCAGCCTTATATAATTTGTCAATATCTTCTAATGTTACATAAGAAGAGTTCACTAAGGTGTTCTTCTAGCAATAACAACTTCCAGAGATTATCAGAAAATAAGGTAGGGACTGGTGCTGAAGTTGAACATGGTAAGGCTTCATCTTCAAGCACTGCTATCCTATATGGGTGCTGGTTCCTGACCCAAGTGTTCCATGTCTGATGCAGCTCCCTGCATATGGCCTGAGGAAGCAGCAGAGGATGACCTAAAGCCTTGGGATCCTGTACACATGTGCTAGAGCTGGATGAGGCTCCTGCATCGTAGCTTCAGATTGGCTCAGCTCCAGCCATTGTGGTCATATGAGGAATGAACCACTAGATGAAAAATCTTTTCCTCTCTGTATCTCTTTCTCTCTGTAAATCTGCCTTTAAATAAGCATAAATATTAAAATATGAGACAAATTTGGAAAAAATCTGTATTAAAGTGTAGCAGCCCTAAGATGTTGAAATAAAAGGCTTTACTTATCCTTCTGCCCTTTGAAGAGGTGCTTGAGATATGATTGGTTCAGTGGAATAGGCAGACTTATCTTTTGTGTGCACCTGGATATGTTCCTCACCTTTGCACAGAAGTCAGCAAGGGAGGTGACCTAATCATGCAGGATGCCAGGGCTACACCCACAGGTTGTAGTCCTTGTGATAGGTGAACCTGATGTGTTTTAGTCCCAAAGGACATGAAAGCATGGGCTGCTTGCCAGCACCCAAAGCCCCATTACTGCTCTCCCCACTCTCTCAAGAAGGGCACAACAGCTGGAACTGATTCTGCCAGCATCAAAATCCCTTAGTTGCCTACTGCCAACCCACTGCATGGCCCATGATTGCTAGCCCCAAGGAATCTGGGCTGCCCCAGGCAGTGTCCATAGGGCCCCTCCAGGCCTTCCTCCAGCCCACTACATAAGTGTGCCCTCATTCAAGTTTCATTATAGGCAGTAAAAATAATATTGGTTTCATGTTCGCTTTACTGACAATAAGAACTAAAAATGAAAAGAAGATACAATTTCTTTTCCATACATAGTGAATCTATGATTTGTACACTCTACCACCTGTTTTGATTATGGACAAATAAATTTATAAAGATTGTCAGAATAGATTCTGCCAAAACATTTTAATCTACTTTTGTCCAGGAAGTGGGATCTTTACAAATTCATACTAAGGAAACAATTAAGGATGTTGTAAGTGTTACGGAGTGCAGCCAGTGTTTGCTCCTTCACCTCTCCTTATATATTCTTCTCCCCACGTCCTAATTTGGCCATGATTTTGGGTGCAGATGAGTCCAATTAGTCTTTTTAGCTACAAGCCCAGTTACAGTTCCTGCCCATCCCAATGAGTGCCAATTAACTCCTTAACTCACAACACTTAGGTATTCCCTCCTGTCCACCTGTGACTCACCTATCAACTGAGAGGGGACAATATTACATTGTTGTATAACCACTCGCCTCACAAATCCATGAAGTAGGGGCTCGCTCCCTCTCTTTCTGGTCAGGTGTTTGCCTTACTCTGGCACCTCAACTCTTGGCTAATCCAAGACAGGTGATCCCCTGAGCATGGTCCCTGTGTACTGCTTTGATTGAGCAATGGATATAGTAATGTTGTTTCTGGCTTGTGTACTATCAGGAGTTCCAGGAGAGGTGAGTCCTAGCAGTAGTGGAATGTGGGCAGAGAAGCCAAGGAAAGGTGAATGTCTGCAGCTTTATAAATGTGTCCAGGTTATTTGTTGCATGTCTCTTAGGATAACTTATACTGTTGGGGAAGCTAGGACATAGGTGTTCAGCTTAATGGATGGACTTAAGGGTAATGACCATTTGTTCCCCTTTGGATTGTGTTTGGTTGGATTATGATTGGTTGGATTGCCATATGGACTTGTGATCTGCTATTTTTAGTATGTTCTATTATCACTAAGCTTGGTTAATAAAGACTCCTTAATAAAACCTTAGACATGTCTAGTATGATCTCACTCACACCCCGTAACAGTAGGCATATGAATATTTATGGAAGCAGAGAATAAAATCTGCTCTGAGTAGCAAACTTGGAGATGCAAGGAGGACATTAAGAAAAGGATAAATTGGCCTTGTGCAGTAACCTAGTGGTGAAAATCTTTGCCTTGCATCCACTGGGATCACGTATGGCTGCTGGTTTTTGTGTTGCCTGCTCCACTTCCCATCTGGCTCCCTGCTTGTGGCCGGGGAAGGCAGTGGAGGGTGGTCCAAAGGCTTGGGACCCTGCACCAGCATGGGAGACCCATAGAAGCTCCTGGTTCCTGGCTTCAGATCAGTTTAGCTGCTGCTTCTGTTGCTGCCACTTGAGAAGTGAAGCAGCAGAAGATCTTTCTGTATCTCCTTCTCTCTGTAAATCTGCCTTTCCAATAAAAATAAATAAATCTTTACAAAGGAAGAAAAAAAGGAAGAAAGCAAGAAAGAAATATATAAAGAAAGGAAGTTGGAAAAAAGGAAGGAAGGAAGGAGGGAAGGAAGAAAGAAAGGAAAGAAGGAAGAATGGAAGAACTGGGTGCAAGTGTTGTACTTCTAGTTAAAGCCTCAATATGCAATACCAGTATCCTTTATTGGAGCACCAGTTCAAATCTGGGGTGCTCTGTATCCAATATAACTGGTTGTTATTTGGCAAGCAGGCATCAGCAGAAGATAACCCAAGTGCTTTAGCATGTAACACTCAAATGGGAGACCTAGATGGAGGTTTGGGCTTCTGGTTTTGGTCTGACTCAGACCTGACCGCTGTGGCCAGGAGTGAATCAATGTATGGAAGATTTTTTTCTCACACTCTGTCTCATCCTCAGTCTTGTACTCTCTATCATACTGCCTTTTACATATATAATTAAATCTTTGAAATAAGAAAGGGTATACTGGATCTTTGCACTTCACTCTGAATTTGAATTAGAAGTACGCAAATGAATCCATGACAATGTAAATATTTTTTAATGTAACTATTAGGCCACTTTAATTTCCTGGTGAATTTTCTGCATAGTGTAACTTTGTTTTTCATTTTTAAATTGAGATGCAGTTTGTACACACAATGAAGTGCTCCTGTACTAAGTGCATGGAATCATGAGGTTTCGAGATTTATAAACCAATTGAAGACACAGATGTGTAACATTTCCAAGATACAGAACATTTCCAACATCACAGAAGGGCGCCACATGTGTCTTCACAGATCTTACTTCCCAAAGGCAATCACTGTTTCAATTTCTATCATCATAGATTATTGTTTTAGAATTTTATGTGAAGGGAATTTCAGCATATGGTCTCTTGCATCAGATTTATGGATTATTAAAATACTTCTGAGATTCATAAATGTAATCAAATACATTACATTTCTTGCCAGAATTTTTCTCAATTTAAAGCATTGTTCTCATTCTGTTTTCATACTAGTGTTACGATATTTAGGACCCAGTTCATGTTACATACCCTGAAGATCTTGCTTTCACCTTAAACTGATTGTATGTCATTCGTTCTTGTCCATTCCTGTTTATTTCTCAATTTTGACACCCAGAGAACAAATTTAACTCTTTAATGCCCTTATTCTCAGCTCCTAGTGGAATGCCTGGTTCAAATATTTCTGAAATGAATCACCATACAAAAAAATGTATATTCTAGGAAGCCAAATAGTCTTGTTCTTCACATTCTCCTCACTGTTTTTTTTCACAGTGTAGAATTAGATGACTAAACTGATATATTTCTTGCTTTACTAAATGTGTCACTATAAGAAAAAACAGTCACCAGAATCTGTCTTATTTTTAACTGGCATCAATATTCAAAATCCATTTTTAATAGTACTGATTAATTTCTCAGAATTTTAATATAGATTTTTGGCCATATATCTTGGAAAAGTGTGTCTTGTTTATGAATTTAGGTCTAAGATGTGGAATAGAGAGCTGAAAATAATTTCTTTTATATACACATTTGCATACACTATATTTAGAATTTTTAAAAATTCCTAATCTTCATTTGAGAGATGGGAAGAGAAAAAGAGAAAAGGGAAAAGAGAGACAGCGATCCCATCCACTGGTGTTGTCTCTGAATACTTATGGTGGCCAGGGACTGGACCAGACAAGTTGGGAGCTGAGAACTCAATCTAGACCTCCCACATGGTGTCAGCAACCCAATCGCTTGAGCCATTACTGCGGCTTCCCAATAATATCAGCAGGAAGTAGAAATCAGGAGCAGGATCCAGGTACTAAATTCAGGTATTCCAACAAGAGACAGGAAGGCCTTAACTTGTATCTTAACCACTAAGTTGAATGTTCAACACTTTGGAATTTAAGCACATTTACTGTGTTTGCATATTATGTTGTTCATATTAATCCCAGACTGGATTGTAGGGAAATTTTCATTAACTGTAGAATGAATAAGTTGTGTTTTACTCATTTTCGGAAACGCTAGACATGATGGGAGTGAAAGAGCTAACTACAGACAACACGATGAGGTGAATCACAAACAAAATGTCAAGTCAAAGAACCCAGATACATTGGAACAGGTGTGATATGATTGTATTTGCATATACATATAGCTGCAAAAGAGACAGATCATTCTTGTGTATGACTTACAGAGTTTATTGACTAGAAGAACTCAACAGGAAATAATATTTTAGTAATACAAAGTAATATTAGTAAAGAAGTAATATTCTAGTAAAAAAGTAATATTCTACAAAGAATATTACAAAGAAGTAATATTCTACTTCTTTGTTTACCGAGTGATTCTTGGTTAGTAAAACTTCAACAAACCATACAAATTTGAAATGTATGTATACTATGTATAATATGAATCTCATTTAAAAGGTGAAGATCACATGGTATTAAAAAAAATGAAAGAACTTTCATTTATGATCTAAAAGCTATCTTCTATTATTTAACAATAACACTAGTTAGACTAAGATGATAGGGAATGGGAGGAAGTACAGATTAATATCCTGAGAAATTAGAATAAAAAAGTCAAAAGATGTAGAGTGCTAGAAAAATAGGTGTTGTGAAGTTCCTAAATTCCAAATAATTACATTCAAAAGATGGTAGTGCAAGGTAATCAAAGACCCAGGCTATGTTCCTTACTGTACTTTCCAAGAATTTTCTATTTTGGAGAATTGCAAGTAACATAGAAAAAAAAAACTTTTTAAATAATCGCAACAGCTGATAAGTTTGTTTGTTTGCTTGTTTTTGCATTTTCAGGTTTGATCTGCCTCCAGTTATCCTGTTTTCCCTGGATGGCTTCAGAGCTGAGTACTTAGAAACTTGGAGCACTTTAATGCCTAATATCAACAAACTGAGTAAGTTCTCTACAATAGGTGGGACACAGAGTGTGAAGATACCAACCTGCGCAATCTTTGACAATGCAACTTTCTTTCGGGCTTTGCTGTTGATACTTTCTCAGCCCAGGTGCTCTTGGTTGAGATAATGTCTTCCCGACATGACATCTGTGTCCTATTAATAGCAAGTGTTTTCATACTGTGGGTTCTTTCTACCTTTTTTCCCTTTGAAAACATACTTGTCTGTTAGTTTATCTTGATATGCTATATTTGAATATAATGTCTATCCTATACAAACTTATTCATATATGCTCTTTCAAAAGAGGCATTTGTCAGAACTGGGTGCTGGATTTGGGATTAGAATTATGAAGATTGCCTCAAATGAGGAATGTTACAAGAAGCATCACTATTAAGGAAACCTCGGGTCCCATCTTCACTGTCGCAGCAAGCTACCTGGGTTGGGCTACAGTGTGTAAGGCTGAACATGAATTCATACCACAGGACATTGAATCACTGCAGTGATTACTATCTAGTTAAGCAAATGACTTTTAGAATCCTGCTGGAATGAAGTGGGGACATTATCTTAGTGTGAATAGCAGCAAACAAAGATCAAGTAAACTATCAAGTGAGATAGTCAAAAATTACGAATTTAAGAATTCATAAATGGTTGAATTCATGAATTCCCCATAGAATTCGCCATCGTTACTTGGAATCTTGTTTATCTCACTTAAATGAAAATTTAGCCCCTGGAGAACACTGTTCTAATCTTTATGATTATAACTATTTTAATACCTTGTGTAAGAGGAATCATAGAATTTTTGTGATTTTATTACTGATTATTTTCCCCTTTTATAATTTCATCAGAGTTCACATATATTGTTGCATTTTGCTGGATTTCATTATTGTTAAGGTGGAATAATACTCTTATATTTGTACATCTTGTTTTCACACTCCACTCATCTGTCAATAGGCCGTTGGCTATTGTGAATAGTGCTACAGAGAGCATGGGAGTGCTGGCATCTTTTTGAGACCTTGATTTCAGTTCTTTTGGATAAATATTCTGAAGTGATATTTCAGGCAGCAGATCTCTTATTTTATTGAGGATTTTGCATATTGAAAAGCCATTTTCCTTTACCACAACTAACCATGTACAAAGGCTCCAATTTTACAACATTCTCATCAAGTCTGTATTGGTCAGATTTACAATTTACAAATATTTTATCCCATTCTTTTTCATTCTGTTGGTTGTTCCTTTTGCTGTATGATTTTTTTTTAAGCTTCATATTGTCCCACTTAACTGTTTTTGCTTTTGTTGCTTGTTCTTTCAGTGTCACAGTTTTGAAATCATTGCCAAACCTGATGTCGTGAGACTTTCCCTCTATGCTTTCTTTTAGAACTTTTATTATTTTAGCTCTTACAGTTAAAGCTGTAACTCAATTCAAGTTGTTTGTGTGAGTTATAAAGTTTCAAATTCATTCTTCTGAATGTGGACATCTGGTTATCTCACACAATTTATTGCAATTTATTTGGAATCCTATTGAACCTAACTGACTAATTTCTGTATTGATTTATCCCTGAACTCTCTATTCTGTCCCATTGGCTTTTATGTCTGTCTTTATGACAGTGCCATCCTGTTTTAATTTGTATACATTTTGAAGTTAGGAACTATGATATCTCCAGCTTTGTTCTAATTTTTAGGATCATTTTAGCTATTCAGGGTCATCTGTTCTGTATAATTTATTTTTTAATCTCTACTAAAAATGCCATTCATATTTTGACAACAATTTCATTGAATCTGTAGATGGCTTTGGGTAGTATGAACAGATTTGATAAGATTAAGTGTTGGATTCATGAGAATGAGATATCTTTCCATTTGTGTATATCTTCTTTAATTTTTTCACTGATATTTCACATCTGTTACTCAATATCTGTATTTTACTTTATAGTATTTATTTCTGAGCATTTTATTATTTTTGATGCCATTCTATATAGAACTTTTTCCTAATTTTATCTTTGCATGGTTCCTTCCTTTTTTGTAAATAAAAATGAAACTGATGTTTCTATGTTAGCTTTGTGTCTGCAAGCTTACTAAATGTATTAGTTCTAATAGTTTTTGAGGAAATTTTTGAGTTTTCTATATGTGGTAATATCTCGTCTCCAAAGATGGAGAGTTTTACTTCTTTTCCTATTTGAGTTCCCTTTGTTTGTCTTCTTGCCTAAAAGTTCTGACTAGGAATTCCAATAATGTGTTAAAACGAAGTAGATAGGGTGGTCATCCTTTTACAACTTCTGATCTTTGTTGAAAAGCTTCCTAATTTTAATCATTGAGCATTATCTTAGCTGCAGGATTTCCATATTTCCTTCTATTTTTAATTTGCTGGGTTTTTAAACATAAAATGGTGTTGTATCAAGGTTTTGGGCATCTGTAGAGGTTTATGTTGTGGTTTTTATCTTTCATTCTTTTAATTTAATGTACTCACATTAATAAATTTTCTATTTTGAACCATCCTTAAGTGGGGGCAAAGATCACTTGGCCTTATATCTGGAAGACTGGATCAGAGAGAAAAAGAGAGAGAAAGAGAGAAATCTTCCACCTGCTGGTTCAGTTTTCAAATGGCAAAAAAGGCCAGAACTAGGCCTGTCCAAAAGGACTTCCATAGAGCATGGGGCCTAAGCATTTGGACCATCCACCATTGCTTTTCCAAGGTCGTTGGGAGAGAACTGAATGACAAGTGAAACAATGGGATATGAGCTCGAACCTATATGAGATGCTGGTACAACAGGTGGAAGTTTTACATGATATGCCACCACACTGCCTTAGTGTGTAATCTTTTTAATGCGTGGTTTAATTTGTTTGCTGACATTTGTTGAGGATTTTTATAGATACCTTTATCAGAAATGTTGCCTTGGCATTTTATTTTCATGTGGTATCTGTGTTGCTTTCTTATCAGAGTAATGTTGTTCTCATAAGAAGAAATTAAGTGCATTCCTGTGTCCCCAGTTATTTTTGAAGAAATTGAGAATTGACAATACTTTTTAAGGTATTTTATAGGTTTGTCAACGAAACTGTATGGTCCTGAACTTTTCTTTCTTGAAAGGTTTGACTCAATAGTCAATACAGTCTTCATACTAATTATGTTTGTTCAACTTCTTAGTTCTTCATGGTTTGATCTGAATAGTTGGTATACTTCCAGGACTTAGCCCATTTCTGCTAGATCTTTCAATTTATCGACATACAGTTGTAATATTCTTGTTCCTAGCAAAAGCAGTTATTAGTTCATTAATTTTATAACTAATTAATTACAGTGACTGTTAGAGAAAGATCCACCATTGTGAAAAGTTTTGTTTGCAGTTCTTTTTCTCTTGTACTGTGTTCCTTAATATTTTATTTTTAGTACAATGATATGTTTTGGTTCCTTTCTCAATTTTTGTTGTATAACTTCCTCTGTTTCAAGTGCAGGAGTCCCTTTAACATTTTTGCAAGCCAAGTCTGGTGACGATGAACATCCTAAGTTTGTTTAGGAAAATTGTTCTCCTTTACAAAATTTACTGTCTTTTTCTGAAACTCAGTTTTCTGAGTAGCATATTTGTGGCTGGCAGGGTCTTTTAAATTTTTTCTTAAATTTTTACGTATCATCTCGGTCCCTTCTGGCTTGCGTGGTTTCTGTTGAGAAACCGTCAAGTAGCCTTACAAAGCTTCCTTTGTAAACATACAAAGCTGTTTTTCTTTTACAGCTTTCAAAATTATCTCTGTCTTTGACTTCTGACAAATTGGTTATATTATGTCTTGGTGTGGATTTGTTTTTAAGATTCATTGTATTTGGGTTCCTTTGAGGATTTTAAGTTATTATTTCTTTGAATTAACTTATGGTTCGTACTGCATCCCTTATAGCATATATTAGTTCCATGTATAGTTTAATCTTTATTTTTCCTCTTTTTATTCTTTTTTCTTTTTGTTCTGCCTGAATGATTTCCATTGACCTGTTTTTGGATTTACAGATCAGTTCTTCTGCTGTTCATGTCTTCTCATGAATTTTTCAGTTTGTTTATTGTGTTCTTCCGATCCATGATTTCTATTTATGACTTTTTAATATGGTCTCTTTGTTGTAAGTTCTATTTGCATGTGTTGTTCTCTTGACCTCAGTGAGCTTCTTTATGATGATTGTTTTGACTTGTCTGTTAGAACAATTATGTATCTCTGCTCCATTAAGATCCATTTCTGAAGATCTGTCCTTTCCTTGGTTTTGTTTTCCTCTTTCTTAATTCTCCTTTACACTCTGTGTTGGCATCTGAATATAAATCAAAGTCATTTCTCTGCCTTCATTTACTAGACTCATATAGGATAAACCCTAAAAAAATCAGCCTGGTCAAAGAATCTGAAGAACCCTCAGAACTACGTGCTAGTTAAACCTCCTTTTATTGTTCTTAGCATACCACCATCATCAGGAGCATGTTAGTTGCAAAAGTGCATTGCCATAAGCAAGACTGAAGCCAATTTTTTAGGAAGTCACCAAAGAAGTCAGATCATTAGACACCATGTACCATTGTTTCTGCCTCCAGGGATTGGTTGGAATCTAGGTTTTTCTAAACCTCTCTTCTCTGTTCTGAGCTTAGGAGGGGCTAAGGTGATTGTCCTGTTGGCTCAAACCATTGCCTTTGTTCTTTCTGGCTCTCCGATGACTAGAATATTCCATATCCTGTTAGTGTTCCAAAATAGGTAAGTCAGAAGCCAGTCCTTGGATACCTCCCTGTTGGGACATTGGCTTTGTGATCCAAATATTTGCCATATCAGTGAGAAACTGAGATCTGGATTTATCACCTGCTTCCTCTGTACTGAGCCAGGAGGAGTTGTGATTAGTGTCTGCACGACAGCAAACGTTCTCTGTAGTCTCCATGTGGCTAGTGTATTTTGGTTCCCATCAATTCTCCAAGACAAATGAGACTGACATCAGTCTCTTGGGCAACACCAAAACTAGGGTGATTCAATTCTGAGAGCTGGGTCTTGCCTCCCTGATACTGTGCTGCTGTGCTAGGAGTAGAGATTTTTGTTAGATTTTGGAGATGTAACAGCCAACCATGTGACTAGGCTCTACAAGAGATTGCGTTACAAAATTGTATACAAAATTAAAATTATTCGTTAGAAGCCATGGATGTTGCTGTAAAGCTTACTGTATTTTCAGTCTGTAGGAATGTCTTAATAGCATTTAATTATGTCAATTATCATATAAGAATATAAAGAGTACATTGTTGTTCTGACTCGTGCATTCTTTTGACTGTTATTTGTTCATTAAGTCTTTTGTCTCTTCTTCAAGTTTAAAGTTATCATAAGCTTAGCTACATTAGATTATCCCATTTATATATTTCAGATCAGTTTTGTTTGGTATGTTTTTTCTACAAAAAGCTTCTTTTTTTTTAAAGGTATTTATTTATTGGAAAGTCAGATATACAGAGAGGAGGAGAGACAGAGAGGAGGATCTTCCATCCAATGATTCACTCCCCAAGTGAGCGCAATGGCCGATGCTATGCCAATCCAAAGCCAGGATCCAGGAACTTCTTCTGGGTATCCCACACGGGTGCAGGGTCCCAAAGCCTTGAGCCGTCCCCGACTGCTTTCCCAGGCCACAAGCAGGGAGCTGGATGGGAAGTGGAGCTGCCAGGATTAGAACCGGCGCCCATGTGGGATCCCCGGGGTGTTCAAGGTGTTCACGCTAGGCCACCGTGCCGGGCATCCCCCCCAAAAAGCTTATTTCTAAATAATAGTAAGGTGAATATGTATATAGTAAAAACAAAGCATCTTTACTGATTTTCCAACCTTTCCTTGACAAAAGCAACTATTCCTATTGGTTTTGTTATGTACTGTTCTAGAAGTTTTCTGTTCAGTAGTAATTTAGATTATTGATAGCTGCAATGAATAATGTGAAGAAATCACATTTCTGTGAGCTGTTATCCAAGTAGCTCTGATTCTAAGGTGATTGTAGATAGTCTTCAGCTGTGTCCTGTTTAGAAAATCATAACCAGGGTGGTAACATATTTTCATAATACTTGTAGCTTCACATTTTATTTTGTATTCTGCAGCTTTTGACATTAATAATTTGAGTTTGCCTTACATTTTCCGAGGAAGTAAAACAGATATTGGCTTTACATCTCTGTTCTCTGACCTTTTCCTCACTTACATTCTTTTTAGTTATGTATGTGAATTGGATCTCATTTCATTTTCGAATCATATGACATTTTGACAATATTGCATGTGTTATTCTTTGATTTAAGGGCATGATTTATTTATTGATAGTATTAAGAAGTTAAAGATTATCTTCGCCATAATTTACATGTTAAATTCTAGAGTTCTGGCAAACTGAAGTCTGTCAGAATCAACTGGGGTACATATTAATATGTATGTGTGTTTTGAGTGCTAGCTCCTCCGTGCCTTGCTTCCAGCCTTGGCCCATCATAAGATGCTATTTAGTGGACTCGAGAGGGAGACCTAAAATATTGTAAAGAAGGAAATTCCTGGTCATTTTGGAAACATTTAGCAGAGACTGGAAAAGAACCCAATCCTAGGCCTGTTTAAGGAAACACTCATTGTTTCCAGCTGCAGAGTTTATTACTTTTTGGACAGTAATCAATTTCTTTTTTTATTTTAAATGAATCTATAATGGAGATGTTTTCATTTAGAATGGCAGGCAATGGGATTTGGGTATGGAAAAGTTTGTGTACTTCATTGCTGTAAAGGAAATAGTTTGAGCCAATGGCTCTTACCTCTTCTAAACAGGTTACTGTACAGAATGAAAACAAAAGAACAATGAGAGCAAAATTAATCGTATGCTTTGGAAACAACAGGCTCCTGGAAAATTCACTAATAAGATGAGAACTGATCTGAAATAAATAAACAGTAAAGTTAGTTCATTTTGTAAACATGACTGCTACTAACATGTGTGGCCATAGAAGTTGAATTCCTGTTTTCTAGAAGGTTTGCAATTTGTTATTTCGTGTATTTTTCTACAGGAAGCCTCAGCTGAGATGCAAAGACTTTTGAAATTTTTCTTGTAATGGCCGGATTTGGAAAGAGGGAAACAAAGTTGGCACTCTCTAATTGAGCATTCACTGTAGGTCAGGGGTCAGTAAGCTGTAGAATGTTGGCCACAATCCTGCCCATTCTGGTTGTTTTTGTAAAATCTGCCTTTTACTAAGAATTGTTTATAGGTTTAAATGATTACTTTGTAAAAAAGATGTTTTTGTAATGTATGAAACATTATATGAAATTCAAGTTTTAATTTTCACAAAAATTTATTGGAATTTAGCCATGCTCACTTGTTTACATGTTACCTATGGATACTAGACCTAGAAATAGTTCACTCCTTTCCTAAAACTGGCATGTTTGGAAATGGACAAAGTTTAGGGATCACGATTTCAACATCTTTCTATCTAATGCACATTTTAGTTCTCTTTTTCTGAGAAATTTTCAGACTTAGATTTTTTTTTGGAATACAAAAGATTTTCTAAGGATGAAATAACTTCCTGATTTCTCATTATATTTTGTTGCAGAAACATGTGGAGTTCATTCAAAATACATGAGGCCTATGTATCCTACCAAGACTTTTCCAAATCATTACACCATTGTTACGGTAAGTGCTTGGTCCATTGGCAAGACTGACAGCACACAGAAAGGGCACAATGGGCAGTAACTGGCTGAGCTCAGTGCCACAGAGTCATAAGCACATGTGCTGAGACTTCATAGCTTACTTCAGAGTGGGAAGGCAGGGCTGTAAACTGAGGACAATGAAGTGCTGTGGAACATTAACTTTGAAAGAATGTCCCAGCATTAGCTGAATTTCAGCTTTGTGAGAGTCTAGGAAAGCCTCTTTGAAGTGAGAAACGCTCTCTTTGGTCTTTTGACTGTCCTTCACTTAGCTGAACATTTGCTGGAAACAGTGGGCTATATGGGAATATGAAAACAGCCCCTTTGATGTGGGAATTTCCTCTTTCCCATCATTTTCTTTATATTTAAATTGATAGAAGTTCTGATTCACAATGAATTCATGCCAGCTTCGACTCGAAATAAAGGGAACTAAAGCAAGTGAATACTCCTCAATGTATGAAAAGATGTAGATAGAACAATTAAAATAAAGTCAAAGGAAAATTAAGTCACGTAAAATATACAGATACAGAATACATACTAAGAATTCTCTGTCTCAGCCTGTATCACCAAAGGATATTTGCATATGCATTACTTTTCATTATTCTATTACTTTGACACAATAACATTTAAATTTAAACCATTAAATATCATATGTGTGTATGTTTACATATTACCATTATTTGACTTTTGCCTTATTAAATGTTATTTGTGGGGCAAGTGTTTGACTTGGTGCTTAAAGCCCTGTTTGGGAATGCCTGCATCCGTAGCTAAATCCCTGTGAGACCTAGTTCTAATCCTGATTACATCTTCCTGCTAATAGACACTGTGAATCGGCAGTTAATGACTCTGGTGCTTAGGCTCCTGCCACCCACATTGAAGACTGGGATGCAATTTATGGCACAGGCCTGGCTGTTGATGCTATTTGGGCAGTGAAATAGCTGAAGGGAGATCTCTCCCTTTCTCTCTCTCTGCCTTTCTCTCTGTATCTATGTCACTTTTTTTCTCTGTCTCTCCAATAGAAAAAAAAATGTAAAAGTGATTGTTCTCACATACATGAAGGAAATAATATGGAAATAATAGTCCCACCCAAATTCCTATAGCCCTTGAACCTTCTTACCCTAATTAACTATGTAAAGATTGTCAAAAATGTAATTTTAAAAAAAAGTGATGGTCGCTCTCAAGTCAGCGAACGTAGTGTTTTCTTGGTTGTTTGCAAATGTGTACAAAGCAGCAATACACACATGCCCAACAGAAATTCAGCAAGATGACACTGCATTCCAAGTTTAACTGTAATACTATAACGAATGTCATTTTTATAATCCATTGTTTATTTACTGTCATGCTTTGCATATTTGTGGTTTCTGTTGGTGATTTTGCTTTTAAAAAATGACACCCAAGCATAGTGTTAGAGTGATGCGTCGTGTTCCTAAGAGCCAAAAGGCTGTAGTAACAGAAAACAAATGTTAGCTAAATTTGGATCAAAGACAAGTTACAGTTAAAAAACAATGTGTAACAAACAATACATCCTAAAACAAAACTACACAACAAACAGGATTATGTATTAATCATTATATGGAAAGGTAATAGACAACTTTGTTATTTATTGACTCAAAAGTTACAAATATATTTTAGCTGTGCAAAATCCCAAATATGGAGTCTGCAAATAAAATTTATAGAAATTACATTGTTGTAGTGATGAAATGTGAAGATCCAAAACAGTAATCCTGTATTCTCCCATGAGCACCAATTCTATATGTACTAATTTAATGTTCGTGGCAATTTTGCATAGCATAAGTATCTTGAATAGCAAAAATTGACTGAATACATGCATATAAACATGTATATGTAAACATGTATGTTTGCATATGTAAACAACTTAGAAATTATTCTAATTATGAAGAATCCTTAAACATATGCTGAAAGTGCATATTATGAAAAAAAAAAACTGCAGGAATTTCAAAGTTTCTTGCACCACAATAAATGCATCCTTAGTTTTTCGAAACAGTTTGAAGCAGACTCATAAATGCTGCTGACTTATACTTTATACATAGATATATCACACATCCACACAGGATCGTATCATATATATTGTACTAAATCAAGTAATGTACTAAAGTGATGTCCCTAAAACCTGTCTGAAAATAGCTACTACTGCAGGGAATGTGATAGATACTTAAAAAAAAGTGTGGAAATATTGAGTGAATTACAGGGGATGGGACTACTGGGTGGTGCACAGACTTGCTGAAGGAAGAATGGACAGAGATTGAGCAGAATCCACTCTGAAGCACTAGTAACACATTTTCATCCCTTTAAGCCAGAATATTCCACACATAAAGCCTTTTATTTAACAAATATATTGCTGTTGTTTTCAATACAACCAGTGACTATTAATGTAATAGGAAAAAGTTCATTAACAAGTTCTTTAGGCATATAAGGGCAATATCAACGCAACTGATACAAACCATTTGGCTAATGTGATTTGTTTGCTTCTATAGACCATGGTAGAATGTGTATGTGTGTGTGTGTGTGTGTGTATACATAGTCTTTGTTATAAATAGATAATAAATATGTAAAATGAATGCATAGTATATATATAAATATATAAGTACATATTTACATATTATGTGTAAGGCATATATATATATATATATCTCATGATATTTGAGTTCAAATCCAAGTATTTTATATTAAAGTCTATGGGTATGTGGTATAAGTTATAAATCTTATGCTGTTTTAAGTATGCCTTTTGTTAATACTTTATTTTATCTTAAATATCTCAAAATTATCATTTTAGGGCTTATATCCTGAATCACATGGCATCATTGATAATAATATGTATGATGTAAATCTCAACAAGAATTTTTCACTTTCTTCAGCGGAGAAAAATCAGCCTACTTGGTGGCATGGACAACCAGTATGTAGCATTCCACTTGGAATTCAAATAACCTCTGTTCCCCAGTGTGACAGTAAATCAGACTGAGTGCCCTACTCTGAGCTTCACATTCCAAGTTCTAAGGGCGGAGGTAGTACATTGTCTGCACAGTTTACAATTATACTTGGAATGTGTTAAACATTTGTTGTTGCTCACTCAGAGGATCTGTTGTGGAAACTTGGCTATGGTTTATAAATGTACCAATCTAGAAATTACTCAGAAAGATTATTCATTAACTTTTCTTCATATTCTGTTTTGTAATTCTTTTAAATGGAAGGAAAAACTGAACAATTTTGCCAATTTGGAAATGACCTTATTCTTGCTGATTTACTATGTTTTTAATTTTCAAGGCAGAGTTTGAAGATTATGTATTTTAACCATTGCAGAGACAAATTATTACTAGTTGCAATACATTTTGTAGTTGTTATTCTTTTATTTCCACTAAGTTGCATAATTTCTACCCAAAGTGATTATCCCAATGACTTTCATTTATTCTAACTGTTTTCTTTTTACAGGTGTGGCTGACAGCAATGTATCAAGGGTTAAAAGCTGGCACCTTTTTTTGGCCAGGATCTGATGTGCCTGTAAATGGCTCCTATCCTTCTTTGTACTTCCTTTACAACGGGTAATGAAGCACTTTCTAAAAGTTTACCATAGAATTGGGAATGATAGCAGTTTTTAAAATTGGGGCCTGGTTGATGGCTCAATTGGCTAATTCTCCACCTACAAGTACCAACATCTAACATGGGTGCTCGTTCACGTCCTGGATGCTCCACTTCTCATCAATCTCTCTTCTTGTGTCTTGGGAAAGCAGTTGAGGTGGCCCAAAGCCATGGCACCCTCAACTGGAGACTTGGAAGAAGCTCCTGGCTCAATTCTGATTGTTGTAGCTGTTTGAACAGTGAACCAGCAGATGGAAGATCTTTCTCTATCTCTCCTCTCTGTAAATCTGCCTTTTCAATAAAAAAAAAAATTTTAAAACAATTTAAAGAAAGAAATAATTAGAAAAAAATTTAAAGCAAAATGTTGAGAATGATTTTATTCTTTCAGTTGTTTGGATCAAAAAGTCTGGAAGCCGTTGATTCCTCTCCTTACATCTCTCATTCAGTAAATGCTTTGGATTTTAATTCAGCTTATATGCAATGGGGACGATCTTGGACCTAGCATTTGGGAAGTCTCATTTCTGCATGAGGGTACCTTGATTTCATACCCATCTCTGGATCTCAATTCCAGTTTTTTACCAATGCCAACCTAGAGAGGTAGCAGTGATGACTCCAGCCATTGTGTTCCTGCCACCTACATGGAGGACTTTGATTGACTTAGTCCTTGACCTTGGCCCAGTGGAGACTGAGCCATTGTAGGCATTTAGGAAGTGAAACCATGCATGAATGGGAGACATCTCTCTTTCTCTTTCTTAGTCTCTGACTTTTGAGTGAGTAAATTATATGCGTGTGTGCACGTGTGTGTATTTATATATCTGAGACCTTTTCATTATCTCTGTCATCACCATGCTTATCTGAACAGTTGCTGCTTCACAGATCTCTCCACTTGTTGTTCTCTGTAATCTAGTCTCAATTCACTACCCAGGAGGATTCCTTTAAAATTCCAAGTCTAATGGTGGAACACTTTGAGATCAAGAAGTTCTGTGTTTCACTGTGTTGTCCAGAGAAGGAGCTAACAGGCCCAGTGCTGGATGACCCTGACTTATTTCTGCTGTCACGAGTACTCTCCTCCCCTCCCAGAGGTTCACTCTGACTTTTCCAAGAACCTCATCACCCAGGCTAGTGTTACCAGATGCCCGGTGCATCGACCATTCCCCTGCCTGAAATGGTCCCTCTGAGGATTCTGAATGCCCTCCTATTCACCTCCTCAGGCTGCTGCTTCAAATGTATCATTTTATCCCATCATAGTAAGATTTAAAATTCTAAATCAGTCCCACCCAATTTTTCAGTCTCTTTCTGTGAATTTTTCTATATGATACATCACTTTTCAGACACTGTGTCATCTATTTGCTTTTTATCCCAACTTTTACTTTCTTCTCACACCAGAACATCATTTTAAGAAAATTTTCTCACTGATAAACTCATACACAGTGTATGACGATAGGTGTTCATGAGATATAAGTAAACGAATGAATAAATGTTAATAGGTTGAACTAAGCATAACCAATGCTTTTTATTATGGTTTGGGGCAAACAGAAGGAGACAAGGGTAAGGAGGAAACTAAAATATTCATTTAATTTGTAAAACAGCAAGCATATTTGCATGTAGGTACTGGCTAAAATCCCTTTGTGTAATATTCAACCCATTTCAGTATTCTGATCATACTGAAAGCAGAGCAGGTATTTATCTTTCTGAATAAGTACATAAAGGAATTGTTTTTGATCGAATAAATTCTGAAAATTATTTTTGTATCTTTTTTCAGAAGTGTTCCATATGAGGAGAGGATCACTACATTGTTGCAATGGCTGGATTTGCCCAAAGATAAAAGGTAGTATATGACCTAGTAACAGTGCTACCATAGCAGGATATGGGTGAAGAAAAATGAAATCATGTTCTTGCTTTCAATGACAGTTTTTGAGAAAACTTGGCATTGCCTTTTAGTGGACACTTTGCAAAAATTATTCCTGAAAGCGGACGATTTTCAGTTTCTGAGAATGTGATGGATACTACTGACCAGTGGAGAGTAGAAGGGAGAGGCGCTAGGGTCGGGGGATGAGCTGCTGTGAGAACTGACCAGGCCATGGATATTTGCCCAAGACCATGGCATCAGGTTGGATTGGAAGGAAGTTCCTTGAGATGTTGTCTAGTTAAACAGCTCCTCAGAATCTACACATTAAGAACTGGGTATATATGGCAATAAAAAATCAGAATCCAGGAAAGGTAGAGGGCCAGGACATAAGAACAGGGGGTCTCATTTGTAAGAACAGGACAGATTTTCATAACTAAGGCATGCCAATGCTTGTATCTAGGATGGTTTAGTTGATTTCCTATTAAAGTATCTAGCCCTGCTGAGGCCAACTGGAGCATCTGGGTCTGGAGGGAAAATAATTCATTCAAAATCGATACTATCTTTCTGTGCTTTAATTTTCCTTCTAGACCTGATTTTTATACCATCTATGTGGAACAGCCTGATACTGCTGGACATAATGGTGGGCCCGTCAGTGCCACAGTAAGTTTTTTTTAATTGGTTAATTAATTAGAAAGGTAGAGTTAGAGAGAGGGAGAGAGAAACAAAGAGAGACCTTCCTTCTGACAATAAACACTGAGGTTGGGCCAGGCCAAATCCAGGAGCCAAACGCTTCTTCTGGGTCTCTCACATGGGTCCAGGGGCCCAAACACTTGGGCCACCCTCCCCTGCTTTCCTAGTTGATTAGCAGTGAGCAGGACTGGAAGTGGAATAGCCAGGACATGAACTGGAGCACACTTGGGATGCTGGTGCTACAGGACTGAGACTTCATGTGATATACCACAACACTAAGACTTGGATGGTGGCAATCACAGTGAATGAAAAAAAAATTCAGTTGAAAATCATTTAGTTAGTGGATTTGAGATGACTAAGTATGAGTTGCATGCGAGGGATGGGGGGGGCGGGGTCAAGAATGGCTTCCTGCTTTTTATCATGGGCCAGCAAGTTCGTAATGATGATGGGCTCTCTGATATAAATAGACCTGCCTATTTTGTAGTTAAGATGCCTATGACATCAAAATAAAGATTCCAGAAGGCAATTTGAACATAGGCAAAGAGTACACTAAAATGTACTCTGTTGACTCTCTAGTATTGAAGAAGAATTGGTCGCAAAATGTACCAACCAGTAACGAATAATATGAATAACCTTCTATAGAATAAAACTATGGTTTACTACTGACAGATTATCATCTCCTAGAATGAAAAATTAGAAAGAGAAATTCAGTTCAGAAAGGAAGAGTGTTATAAAGAACAGATTCACTTCAAGGTTGGTAATGCTCATGTACATGGTAGCATAGACTACCCACGAATTCTGCGTTGGGAGCAGCATGTGGAGCTGGAAGATGTCAAGTAGGAGCTGCGTCTCTGCAGGGTGTCTTCCACATTCCCCCACAGAACCGCAGCTGGTTGGGTGCTTTGCAAGCCAGAACCCAGTTATGCAAAGGGGTACTTCTAGATCCAAAGAGAGTTCACAGGGATCCTATCTGTTGACTTTTAAGAAAAAAAAAACTAGGATTGATTTTACTATAGCCACAGTGTGTGGTGTGTGTGCTGTGAAAATCAGTAATCACAGTTCCCATGAATATATATTTAATTATTCATATATAATGTATAATACACCATATTATCTATTTATGTAATACACAATGTGTATTTATACTTGTATGTAGCATATAAATATATCATATATATAATATATATATATTTAAACATGGATCCTACCTGAACCTGATTTTTTTCCTTACTACACTTGGCAAATACTTCTATTTCTGTTCTATATCTAACTATCCAAATAAAAACCCTACTCACTCATTACAGGTTTCTAATTTCTTTCTCTTTTTTCAGTGGGGGGTAGCTGGAGTTGGAGGCTGACATTTATTCATTTCATATTTTTCTATGTGTTCTTCATGGAGGACTCCAGGTTTGGAAAATTTGTGATGAATTTGGTTCGTTACTCTTTCCCTGTGAGACTTTATGCAGTTCTGACACATAGATGACCTCAAAACTTTGAGTCTAACGATAGCATTGTGTCAGGGTGCTGGGGGAAGATTGAAGGGAAGAGACATCTGCGTGGTTGAAAGGAGACAGTAGAATGATTATGTGAAAGTGGACATTATGCCATGACAGAGGTGGAAAGCATGACTTTACTGCCAAATCAGAGTGCACAGTAATCATAAGAGTCAGTATAACACCTTAGAGTTGATGATCAACTTAGAGTGGATACAGCTTCTTTTAAGTTCAAGTCCTGCACTGTGGGACATGCTATGCATGAACATGGTGTTTGCCATCTTTAAATCTCAAGTTCTTGTTCCTTTCAGCCAGAAGTTCCAAAAAATTCATCCACAAATGTTGGCTGTGAGGATTTCTTGAGCAAATATATTAAAGCTCGTAACACTCCTTGGCTCATGAAATGGTTGTTCAAAAGGAAAAAAAGATATTGAGTGTTATAATAGTATCATGAGAGAATGAATATTTTTCCCAATTCATTTATTCACTGAAAGAAACTTCTGAAAAAATGAGGCAGTAAAATCCACTTAAACTTTGTCCATTCCATATATTATACTAATAAGGTATAGAAGAATTACACTCAAGAGTGTAAGCTGTAAAATAAAAATGAGTTCTGATTTCGTTATTTGGAAATAGCCATGGTTACTAGCACTTGGAAACATTTGTTTTCAATTTTCTGTGCTTGTGTGTTTACTAAGCAATAGTAATTGTTTAAAAACAAAGTCAAGAATAATCATGTGTATGAATTTGTGCACAATGTGGTTTTCTTATGTGTACTTTGTAAAGTGAATATCGTAATGATTTTTTAAGGACATGTTGTAATTAGTTTTTCTAAAATTTATATTATGAATCAATAGCGCAATAATATGTATCTTCATATGGCGATCGGATGCTTGGAAATATAATTATATGGAGATAAGGCATGCCTTTTTTAGACCATCTGGTAACTCCTTGGCACATGCTCCTCTAGGTGTGTACACACCTGGGTTCTCCTAGCGGTGTCTGTGGGCAGTCCTCCCTAATATCAGCCATCATCATGAAAACATTTACAGGTTAATGGTGCTTGTTGACATTCAACATTGTTTTGTGTATCTGTTGACTAGTGTGGGGAATACTCCAAAAAACAGAAGAGTTTTGTTTTGAGAGATTTGGTAAATAGGTCTTTGGTAAGTGGTAGCATGAGAACTGGGTTCTGGTGTTCTATTTCGAAAGTCAACAATTCAAAGAAGGAAATATATTAAAGGTTTGCTGCATTATTTAAGGATTTGATGAACCAAAATAATTAGTTCTCTCTCTGTGTCTCTCTCTTTTAGGTAATACAAGCCTTACAATCAGTAGATAATACTTTTGGAATGTTGATGGAAGGCTTAAAACAGCGGAACTTACATAATTGTGTGAATATAATCCTTTTGGCTGATCATGGTATGTTTTTTTTTTTTAGAAAAACCATATTTTACTTATACACAATAGCTTAAAGTATTATACAAGCAAGGGTGTTTTCAGACAAAGAAGCTTTTAAAGAAGCAACTATATTTTGTGGTAGACAGAGGTTAGGACATAATTTAAATTTCTAATTCAATTATTTTAACATCCTTAAAGATATATTCATGTATTTTATTTTCTGTGAAAAATAGAAGGAATAGTACTTAACAAGATTGCTATTCCATCTATAAAAACTGCATTTTAGAACTTCTTTTTAGTAAGTGAGTCTTTCATTTTGTTAGTTTATTTTATTGACACATTTTTCCAGATTTAAGAGAGTATTTATTTAGTTTATTTGAGAAAAAAAGAGAGGAAGAGAAGGAAGAAGGGGACAAGGAAGTGGGGAGAGAGAGAGAGTGAGAGATACCTGATAGAGCTCCCATTCCCATTTTAGTCTCCAAAGCACAGAAAAGATGGAGCTAAATCAGACTGAAACCACAAGACTGGAACTCAGCCGGAGTCTCCCACATGGTGGCAGGGACCCAGCTACCCGAGCCACCACCTGCTGCCTCCCAAAGCATGCGCTCCAAAATGGGATGGGACCTCCTGACAATCATCTATGCGGAACGCTCACTCTGTCCCTTTATCTGGGCCAGCTGAATGGCTGTGTGATTAATCACAGGTTTTTGCATCTAAGTTCCCTATCACTGCACATTTCTCCACTGGAGATGAACTCTTGATTTTTTTCACTTAAAGGTATAAGGAAGTGAAACATCAACCCTTCCTACTCCCATAGTGCACAGAACACATTCAAGCACTTTAAAGTGCTTGTTCATTTCACAGTGTCTACTCGAGTCATTGAGTGTCTACTGGATGCTGAGTACTCAGAGCAGTGTAGGACTTCCGCATTCAAGGTGATCAAACTGTCTTTTACAGCGTCTTCACACCACAACAGTGGGGACAGTAGACACTGGTACCAGCAAGCAAAGAGCCAATCAGTACACTGTTAGCTGTATCTCAGAACATCAATGAGAAACACTGAAATGGATTCTAAATTTGTTCAGCGATTCCCTAAAACTGCCTATTGTTTTAAAAATGAAGGGAAAAAAAAGCATTGTTAGTGCACATTTTGTTTGAAGAAATTGGTAAAAATAAGAACTTCATTTTTGCCTGAAGAATTTTTGAATGTTTTTAGCACCGGCTGCTTTTATAAACTTTAATATACTTTCTAAGGAAATATTTTCTAATGTATTATGTAATGTATTTTCTTGATATATATATTATTTTCTAAACATGCATGTAGCTTTTTTGATTTAAAAAGGCATCATGTTGTGTTTCATACAACTTAAATGTAAAGAATCAGCCTGCTACAAAGGATTTGCCTATGTTAGTTGGTCTTTGTTGAACACACGGTGTTTATAATTGCTGACTAAGCTACCTGATAAACATGATTCTTTTCTCCCACTGTGTGACTTTCAAGTTCTACTATCTAGAGTAAAATAATGGGTTAAATTGCATAAGTCTTCAATGAAACTTGACTTTGTAGTATAACATATCTATTGTTTGACAGCCCCAAAGATAAGCAATTGTTACTACATATGGATGCATTTTTATTCTAGGAATGGAACAGACTTCTTGTGACAAGATGGAATATATGACTGATTACTTTAACCAAATAACTTTCTACATGTATGAAGGACCTGCCCCCCGCATCAGGAGTCGTAATATACCTTCTGACTTTTTTACATGTAAGTTTAAAGACGCCTGTAGAGAAAAAAGAGATGAACTACAAATGAATAACCATGGCCTCTGCTTCTGAGAGCACACACTTGCCCTCTTGCTGCTGCATTCTTGGGGAGACACTAGGAGGCAGTGACACATCCCCATGTTGAAGTACAGTCCTTCTATAAGTCAATGGTAACATCTACCATTGCTTGGTCAAAATACACTCTATTCCATTCTCAAACGCTGAAATAATTGTTTAAGATAAGTATTTGATTTCATCAAATCAGAGTTCTTTTAAAATATAAGTGTCAGATTCATCTGTTATTCACATTTTTTTCCCAATCATCAAGTATCGATTGTAATGTGACTTATTTTTCTTTTGAAACAGTTAACTCTGAAGAAATTGTTAGGAACCTCAGTGTAAGTATAAGTTTCCTTTATATGTATATTTAGCTTAATGTTATCACCTTAATTTGTGTTATTTTTCTGTAATCAATTTTTAAGCAATCAATGATATTGTATGCATTTTAGGTTTTTTTTTTTTTAAATCTTAGTTACTTTCATTTTGGAGTTAACATCATTACATTACAGGTAGTTAGTTTGGTGTAACTTACTCATTCCTAGTTTTTGTTGAAAGAGCTGGTGGTTCCATTCCAAAGGGTTTGGGTGGTAAGCTTCATCATTGTGTCTCATGTGTGTGTGTGAGTATGAGTGTGGGTGTGTTACTTGATATCAGAAATTTGGTGCATCCACAGACTCCCATAGATCTTTTTGTACAGTTCAGATCAATAATCTCTCTGCCTCCTAAGTATGATGCTTACTGCTTCTGATTGCATCTTACATCCTTGGAAAATCTTAGAAAGTTTCTAAAACATGTTTTTTTCAAAATGAGAATCAGTACCTACTAGAGAGACATGGAAAATTCTAGTGTTTTAGTGTTAGTAGTTGTATATGTAATAATTGGATATGTATATCATTTGGCATTCAATATTTTACTGTTGCTTAGACTGACACTAACCTATTTATGCATAGGTGGGATATAGTTATAGTAAGAATTCTAAACATAGTGTTTAAATGATTAAAGAAAATGAACAATGGGAAAGGAATAGTTCATTTAATAGGAAACCATTGAAATTTTGTAGTAGAAATCTTTTAGAGTATTAATCTTTTTTTGGGTCATTTTGAATCAATCTATTTTCTTGCATCATTAAAGAGAACATTCTAAAAACAGTGTGCTCAGCATATAGTCATAGTACTGAATAAACATAGACAAAAATAAATTTTCTAAAAATTACAGGCAGAGAGTGAGATGATAAATTATCAAAATTAGGAAATAGGTTTTTTTTTCTTACATTCTCTAATATTTTAATTCTGAGTAACAAAATAATCTCGCCCCCTTCTGGTGAGATGTAGACCTTCAGTGTGTTCATGAACACTGAGTAACACAGAATTTGCCACAGGTGTTTTGTTTTTTTGGGGTTTTTTTTTGTCCCATCACCTCACAATCCATAAAGATGATATTATACTGGTGCAGATGGGAGAGTCTTTCATGATCCCAGTTGTGAGAGGCATTTGAGTACTGCAAGTTTGGAAATCCATTGCATGTTATTACAGACACAGAGCTCCAGAACCACTAAGAAATGGGCTGCCATGTCAAGAAGCAGTGGACCATTACAGGAAAATATCCCACGGGGTATTGCAATATCCCCCGGGGTATTGCAGTATCCCCAGTGGTGCTGTTCTGTGCTTCTATGCTGAGTTTAGATTGCTCAAACATGACCTTACAACCCTGCAAATTCTACATTTTGGAGGCATCAAAGACATGAACACCAACTTTGTTCTTAGGTAAAGTTATCTCATTCCTGATTTCTTCATCTCAAGTCTCTAAACAAAGGATAATTCCATGGTTCTTCAGCACGGGTAGTGTAGCCCCAGTTCTGTCTGCATTTGTTCTTGGAAGGAACGTGTTCAGCAGCACGGATGTGTGACCCATTCAGTGCCACATACTGATCCCTTGCAAGTTGATGAAAATACACAGTCAGAAGTGTCCATCACATTCTTGATAGGCTCAGGAGTGTTCTTGGGCTCATTCGCACACCACCTCAGACCAACATCCTACTGTGCCCAGCCTAACAGTTCATACATAGAATTTATAGGGATATTAGCTTAAAAAGAAAAGTAATGACATATAAAAAAGCAGAAAAATAAGCCCAGAAATGATATCAAAATTCCCAAAACAAGTTGGCTGAAGTATGCATGCAACAATTTTTCTTTCCTCTTTTTTTTTTTAATTTGTTTACATGTTTGGAAATCAGATTTGCAGAGAGAAAAGAAAGAGACACAAATTTTCCCTCCATTTCCTTGTTTACTCTCTGAATGGCTGCAATGGCCAAGGCTGGGCAAAGCCAAAGCAAGAGCCAGAAACTTCATCTAGGTCTCCCATGCAGGTGCAGGGGCCTAAGCAATTGGGCCATCTTCCGTGGCTTTTCCCAGCCAGTAATAGGGAGCTGAATCAGAAGTGGAGCAGCTGGGACTGGATACAATGTCCAAATAGGATGCTTAAACCGTAGGCGGTGGCTTAACCTACCGGCTTACAACATCTTCCTCTTCTTCCTTTAATTTCTCCTTATTCTAACATTTCCTGTTTGTTTTGGACTTTTTTCTTTGTAAATTGTGTTTCACAGCTTCTCCTATTTTTCTTATACAAAGACATACTAAGATATGTGAGATATTGTGGCATTTGATAAGAAAATAAAGAAATAAGAAAAAATAGAAATTTCCTCATATCACCATTTGTATGTTTACTCTCTTCTTACCTGTGTTTTTCAAAAATACAATGAGAGAAAGTTCTTTCTCTCACTTCCTTTTTTTCTTTTGCATGATTAGATACCAGTATTATTTGTATTTTTAAAAATGATCCTGCAATGACAGTAGTTATTATTAAGGAAGCCAATCTTTGGTCTAATTTGAGAAATTTATGAAGTTTTTACAAATAGGATGACAACTATTTCAAAAGCTGTTGTCATGATTTGAAAACTAACTGTTGGTTATTTTAAAAAATAATTATTTGTGAAGAGATTTTGATACATTTAAGCATATTTTTCTCCATATCTATATATTTTCATATGCAATTTAGACTTTAAATTTGAAATTCTCACTTTTTTAAAATATTTATTTATTTTTATTACAATGTCAGATATACAGAGAGGAGGAGAGATAGAAAGGAAGATCTTCCGTCCGATGATTCACTCCCCAAGTGACCGCAATGGCCGGTGCTGTGCCGATCTGAGGAGGCAGAAACTTCCTCCAGGTCTCCCACACAGGTGCAGGATCCCAAGGCATCGGGCTGTCCTTGACTGCTTTCCCAGGCCACAAGCAGGGAACTGGATGGGAAGTGGAGCTGCCGGGATTAGAACCCGCGCCCATATGGGATCCTGGTGCACTGAAGGCGAGGATTTTAGCCGCCAGGCCATGCTGCTGGGTGAAAGTCTCACTCTAAACCTAGACACATATCAATTTGTTGCCTAAAGAAGCAGGGGAGGGATTTGTAGTGGCTTCAAGACACATGCTTGGGAATGAAAACTGAAAATATCAAACACCAAATTACAATTTAAGGTAGATTTTTAATTGCGGTTGAATGTAACAACAAAAATCATGTGATTAGGGAATTTTGCTACATCAACAATAGGTTTGATAGTCCTACTTTAGCTAAGCAAATTGTCATGGAAGATGAAACCTTTGAATTAGTTTGCATGGTTTGTGTTTCACAAATACATTTTTGCACGTTTTTCAGTGTCGAAAACCCGATCAGCATTTCAAGCCCTACTTGACTCCTGATTTGCCCAAACGACTACACTATGCCAACCATATCAGAATTGACAAGGTTCATCTCATGGTGGATCAGCAGTGGCTGGCTGTGAGGTTGGTGGGCCTATTTATTTCTCTTATCATGCTTTTATCAGTCATCTTTCGAAGTTCATCTACTTAGCCTTACTCTGCTAGAAAGATCATGCAAAATTTCCTGGACATTGACATTTTTGGTGTTGACATTTGTCTGCTCTGCTGGATCTTAAATAATCAATATTAAATGACTGATTTTAGCAAGTTAATCTTCATAATATAGATGAGAATGATGGAGAGCCTGAGACCATTCTGGCCCCTGTCCAGGGGCGATCAGACTGCACCTACCCACTCCCGTTCCCGCTGAGCCGACCTGAAAGGCCACAGAAAGGATAAAGAGGACCTCTATTGTCTTGCAAGCCATTGGTTAGGCAGCTCTTTGAAATCTTTTATGACTGTAAAGCCAAGTTAGTCAGTGAATTTAACCTAGAAATGTAATGCAGGTTGATCTCCAGCACTTGCAACACATAAACGTGTTTAGAGAAAAATAAAAATCATTTGGAGTCACTGCATTCCAAGGAACCATCTGTTCATCAATCCACAGAATTTTACTGAATGATTACTCTAAGTTAGGCCAGACCTACCCCAGGCATTAAGGATACAGACATGCTGTATACCGATGATGCTCTAATGCCAGGGGCATGCAATAACAACGATATTACAACAGTAAAAAGGTGCTTTGGCAGAGAAGATGACGCCGAAAGTAAACAATACACCTGGGCTCCAATATGTGATGTGTATGTGTGCAGAATAAGGAATTGGGGACTTGGAAGAGCCTGTTCTGCAAGATCCTGAAACACCCCTCCCTCCACCCTCTTCAAACAGAGTGCAGGCTTCACACTTCACCGGTAGATGGCGCTGGCCACTCTCTTTTGAATTGGAAAGTTGTACTGTTACTCAGGATAACATTCTCTGAAAGTCCCTAGAACGTGAGAACAAAATTAAACGTTGCTAACATTTATTATGGAAAGTTGCAAGTGACTTATATATAAAACTTATAAATAAAAGTGCTGAAATTAGGATAAGATCTTTAAATATTTACTGTTAGGAGGATGAGAACAAATTGCATCTGGGGGTTACTGGGACAGGATCCAGGGTGATGGGAGAGTCCAGCCATCAGAATACCTCTGGGCATCACCCATTAAAACCCAGTGTCAGATGATACTTTGTTCTTTCCAAATAGCAAGGAGAGGGTGTAGGAAAAGCCTTAGTTTTCAAGGCTGACTCCCCACCTTGTGCAAACTTGGAAATTTTAATATCTTACATATTCATTGTTTTTTCATATCTGTAACACAAGGTGAACCTGTTTTCATTATTCTTTTGCCATTAACTTACAGGGCAAACTAAGTATATCTTAAATTTTTTTTCATTATAACCTTGATAAGAGCAGCTAACGAATTTAATCTGACGAAATTCTGGGCCCACAATCTCCAGCTCTTAAGACATAAATCTTAGGCAACCTATTGTTAAGTCAGTGTGATGTTATCTTCAATCATAATGCAAGCTCTTTGGTAAGTAGAATAGATCTTCTTTTCACGATAATAGCAAACTTCCACAGTTCATGCAAGCTGTTTTCATTACTGCAATCCTTATTTTACATAATTGTGCTAGTTTTTACTAGTTGCCAGGGACCCCATTATTTCAAATAATGGTTGAATTCTTATAGTCAGTATTTCAGAGATCACATATATAATAGCACTTTTACTTAAGAATAGCAACTGATAGAGAGGTCCCAGGGACCTCACTTATGAATTAAATGCACACTACCCATGTTCTAAAGCTCTTTGGCCGATAAGAAGGAGGATAATAACTCTAATGTAGAGTGACAACTGCTGCGCTAGAACCAAGAACCTATAAAAGGTTAAAAGTAAAAGGAAGGATGACACACCCATGTGTGAGTGTCGGAGAATGTTAGAGAATAGATGGTTCCTCATCTGGGTTTTGGTGATTAGTGATGGGACAGGGTAAATATTGCCATGTCGCAGGTCTGTGCCATATGTGTATTTTGTGCATTGGGCCAAGAAGGTGGGAGGGGATGGAAATCACACCCTTTAAATGGGTTTCATTTCATTTACTTGAAAGGGAGTAAAGAGCATAGTCTCTTATCTGCTGGTTCACTCCCCAGATGCTGCAAGTTTCAGGGATGGGCTGAGCCAAGTTAAAGCTAGGAGCTAAGAATTCAGTCCAGGTCTGCAACGTTGGGGGAGGGGACCCAGGTAATTGAGACATCACCTACTGCCTCCTAGGGTGTACATTGGCAGGAAGCAGAGACAGGTCTCAAACACAGGCATTCCAATATTGACGCGAGTGTCCAAAGTGGCATCTTGATCTCTGCCTGGAACATCTACCTCAGGAACTACGCTCCTGCTCAGCCCAGTCAATGCCGAGGGACTGTGCTGGCAGGAGGAAGAGCCCAGCTGCCTGACAGGCTATGTCCATCAACAGGCACCTCTTTCTCCAAAGGATTTGCTGGAGAAGCTGGACACCTGCTGGGGCAGGATAGGTAGAGAGGAGGAGGCAGGCTACCAGGTGGGAGGACCAAATACCACAAATGTCTAGGACCTCTGCTTTGCTGGAGCACCGGGTGAACGGACGGTGACTTCGATTGCTAAGAAAGTGGAAGGTGGTTGGGAGGCACCAGGTGGCTCGAGGTCATACACGGAGTTTGCTTTTTGGGGAGCTCCTTCTAGCTGCGGGCTGGAGGAGGAGACAAGAGGGAGGCCTGTTATCTGCTCATCACTGTACAACAATCCCAAGGGAGGCTGTGGAACTTGGGGAAATGAGTTACAGAGCACATCACCAGGAAGCTTTGATGATTAATGAGGTTCCAGATTTTGCAGCATAGTGCGGTTGGTTCATCAGTGTGTCTCACGCTTGTTTCCATTCCAGCAGTGATAATGTGTAAAAGGATTTAAGGGCACTATGTGGGAAGATTTCAAAGTTTCAGTCAATCAAGGAACTAAGCAGATGAGGATCTGGCTTACCGTGAGGGTAGTAGGAGAGGACAGGACAAACAGGAAATGTGTGTGAATTTCGGAAAATCAAAGACCTTGGCCACTGCTGAAGTACCAGGAGAGAAGCCGCCTTCGTCTCCTACCTGCGTCATTGCCCAGCTGTGGCAGACACGCCTAGCTTTGATTTCAACTGTGTTAATTAGACAAGGAAAAGATAATAGAAGATTTGTTACAAAAGATACACATTGTACTTGGAAACTGAGAGCTAAATTACCACAGATAAAACTGACTCAATTTTTCCAAATACCTGATATCACTTTTCCATATGTAATATCTGGGGCCAAATTAATGACTACAAGGCATGGACACGAGCAGTTAGAGGAGCAAACTTCTGAACTTTCCACCTGAAAAGCAAAAACAAAACAGCTTTTTTTCCAGCCAATTATATTTTTTTCTTTTAAATAACATTTTGCAATATTTATTAATTGAGCTGGGTTGAGTAGTGGAAATATAAGAAACCCAGAGTTTTTCTTAAAATAAGTACAAGATAGATTTTATAACATCAAGTATTTGATTCAAAGGCATTTTTCTTTTGTTCATTAATGAGCACTAACTTGCCACACAAAATTTAAAATTTAAAGACTTCCAATTAAACAATTTCAGTATTCTTAGGAAACTTAATGAAATGAGAATAAAACTGCTTTTGTAAAATCAGTTTTACCCCATTCCAGCAGTTTTGTTGGAATTAACCAAGATAATGACATGCCTGGCCCTATAGGGTAATCTAATATGAATTCATGATAAAGCAGAGACACTCCTGATTGCCCCACATAGTGTGGCCTGGTCAGAGTTGTGCTTTGTTTTGTTTTTAAATTTTGTGGTTTATTTTTATTTTTCTATTTAAACTGACAGTCAGTTACGGATTTCTTAACATTGAGCTTTTTTTTTAGACCATAAATTACTGCCTTGTTTTCAACTGCACCTTCAAGGTAAAGGCAAACAGAAGCCGTGTGTGTGTGTGTGTGTGTGTGTGTGTGTGTGTGTGTGTGCATGTGTGTGCGTGTGTGTGTGTTGGATTTGGAGATGGAAGTTGGGGAAGCAAATGAAGAGAAACCATTCAAGGTCAGCCTTTGGAAACAGAAGTCTTTTGTTCCCAATGGAGACCAAAACTGAACCAGTATAATATTGCTGCTTTAAAACTAACTAGGTTTATTTATTGTTACCTTTTCCCAAGCGGAAAAATCAACCATGTATAAAATTTCTAACACTGCACAACTCAAAGATTAAAACATGAGAAGGTAGGCAAAGGACAAATTAATTGAATTTGAAAACAATGTATGGAAGAAAATTCCAAAAGCTAAAATCAGTGCTGATGTCAAGAATGTTCTTTTACTGACTTCTTATCAAGTGTTATGTTTTACTTTCCATGTATAGTCTTTTTTTTAAAATTTTTTTTAAAGATTTATTTTTATTATTTTTTATTGGAACGGCGGATATACAGAGAGGAGAGACAGAGAGGAAGATCTTCCGTCCGATGATTCACTCCCCAAGTGAGCCGCAACGGGTCGATGCTATGCTGATCCGAAGCCAGGAGCCTCTTCAGGGTCTCCCACGCGGGTGCAGGTTCCCAAAGCTTTGGGCTGTCCTCGACTGCTTTCCCAGGCCACAGGCAGGGAGCTGGAAGGGAAGCGGGGCTGCCAGGATTAGAACCGGCGCCCATATGGGATCCCGGGCGTGCTAGGCGAGGACTTAACCACTTGCGCCACCGCGCCGGGCCCTCCATGTATAGTCTTAACTCATTCTTTTCATATTATTTTCCTAGGCATCTTCTCTATTCAGTAAAAATTGATAATTTTTTTAGTTCCAAAGGTTTTTTATTTTCTAAAATGCTAAAATTCTTAGAGTGATCTATAAATAAAAATATCTGTAATGGTGTTGTCATTGGTGTTGAAGGGTACAGGTGAGCTTGAAGGTATCATCATTGCTTTCTGAGCCTTTGTTATTCCTTGGTGGGTATCTAGAGTCAAAAGATCTTCAGGTTCTATTGATGGATACTGAAATTCTTTTACTCTGATAATTTTGTTTTTTCTCTGGCTCTATGCTTAGGCATCAAAATATGTTTGCACCGTTGCTGAGAGAAACATGTGCTTATAAAAAAGCAGAAGTTAATAAAAACTCACTGAAGTGTAATTTAAAATAAGATCTTGTGTCAATACAGTGGTGAATGTGTAATATTTCTTTATAGGAACAGAGCAAGTACATACTGTGGTGGAGGCAACCATGGTTATGACAATGAATTTAAGAGCATGGAGGTAAGGCACTACATTGTTTTTTTGTAGAAAATGCTTACTTACCATCTTTATGATTGATAATGTCTAAGACTCTTTTACAAATTAAGTTTTTTCAATTTAAAAGTGACAGAAAGTGAGAAATACAGATGTCTTCCATATGTTGTTTCATAACCCAAATTACTGGAACTGAGCTATGCTGAAGTAAGGAGCCTGAAACTCCTGTGGGTATCTAACGTAGGATGGCAGGGACCGAAGCTTTTGAGCCATCATCTACTGCATTGCCAGGAACATAGGTAGGAGTTTGTATTAGAAATATGACATATACAGGTCTGTACATGGCATCGTGATATAGGATGGAGGCTTAATGCACAGCATTACAGCATCCCATTATTGAGATTCTTAAATACACCTATGAATAAAACAGATAAAGAGCCCTTATGTGATGAAACCTTTATTCTAGTGGAGGAATACATGCATTAGATTAGTCCAGGAATATCTGACTTACTGTGTTAAGTAAAATTCTATGGAAAATGAAGGAAAAGTAAAGGAGTGTAGGGGAAAAGTGAGACAGTTTGGGGATACCATAGGGCAGGGTGCGGCATTAAGTGAGATACAGAGGCTAAGAATCACTGAGGTGATCTTTGAGCAGAAACTTGAAAAAAGTGAAAGGATTAGCTTTTCAGAAGCTCAAAGAACAAGTGTCCCAGGCAGAGCAAACAGCCACAGCAGAGGACAGGAATGGGTTAACCATTGGAAGGATGCTGGCTTTTGGTTCCTGCTGATTTGGCTTCTAGGAGCAAGGGAATTATGGGCTGTGTTAAGTTTGAAATGTTTGTTGGGCATACAAATAGAGATGATGAATAGACAAAGACAATCTACCCAAGAGAGAAAAAAAAAACAATGGAGTCTTATACATGGTAGTTATTTTTTTAATGTGACTACATAAGATCCTTACGGATTAAGTGTAGGTAGAAGTAGACTTATTCAATGTTAGACACTTGTACTTGAAGAGGTTGGGGAGAAAGAAAAATTACTAGTGAAAAGACTGAGAAACAGAGCTCTGAGAAGAAGTAAGAAAACCAGGGAGTAAGTGCTGTTCTGGAAGTCCAGGGAAGAGAGTACGGAAAGTCCTTGAAGAAAATGCAACTGATGTTCCCTTCCCAGTGTCAGAGTTTGTGAGTTTGAGAATTTGCAACCTGTCTTGTCCAGTTCCCTTTTCATGTACACTATATGCTTTTCAAAATAGAAAAAATGAATGGGTTAGGCCAATGAATGTACTACCTCTTAACATTGGCTTAATAAGTTGTATCTCTTTGTAAGAATGTGGGTTTGAAAATCCTTTCTATTAATTAGGGTAATCTATGATAATTAAATTAATTACTGCTAGAAAAACCTGTACCTCAACTTGTTTGCTGATTATCTTGGGGAAAAAATATGTACACTCCTGTTAGCTGAAAAGAATTATTTGTGTTTTATTCTTTTCCTCTAGTTATTTGTAATTCAGAATAATTGAATATCTTGTAAATCATATCAATAAGTTGGCATTAATTCATTAAGTGTAAAAAATTTAGTTTTCCATCCAAAAAAAGAGGATATAGTATTTGAGATATAATTAGCTTAAGAAATTCTGTGAAAATTTAGTGCTTAGGAATGTCAACATTTTTACCATGTCTTATCGTATTTGAACAATAAAATGAAAGGAATAGAATAAAAAAGACTTTGTGGTTTTATAAAGTGAATATCTGATATATAACATCCAGAAGTTGCAGAAGTATTTGACTTTGGGTTGTCTGTTATGGCTTGTCCCCTCAAAGGGTGTTGATAAGTAAGGTGCTATGCAGACCAGCAGAGACAGGAAAGATAAACTCAACAGCCCTAATATTTCACAAGAATTTGTATAATATCTCTGGTAGAAATGATTGAAAAGCATTTTCCAATCTGAAAAAAAAAAAATCCTTGCAGAGACCTGCAGTACAAATAAGATAGTTGTCACAGAAGGGAAATTATGTCTCTTGTTTCACTTGCGTTTGAGTTTGATGACATCTAGTAATAAGGTGACTGTTACCACCTAGGCTATATTTTTGGCACATGGACCCAGTTTTAAAGAGAAGACTGAAGTTGAACCATTTGAAAATATTGAAGTCTATAACCTAATGTGTGGTATGTATATTTAAATAAATTCAGCAGCAAAATCTCGATGGTTCCCAATATATGTCCATTGAACTTGGTGATAAATTAAATCGCTAAAGTTGGCTGCTCTGAAATAAGAAGATAGAAATGATAAGAAAGATTTGCTCTTCAAAATTACTCAGCTACCTTATATGAATGGATTATTTCATCTTATTAAAAATGCTAAACTTTAGATCTCAGAATGCCAAAATACTCTAATCAGCCAGTTGCTATATGACAATTTAATCAAACTTGGCAAAATCAGGTAAGATCTCCAACATTTCAAAACAGGATAAATGCATCTAAAAACATTCCAGCATTCTTGTGTTGGAAACTGGAAGGCTTCTGGCATAAAGGGATGTTAAAAAAGTCCTACCTGGATAAAACTTACTCTATTCAGTGATGAGGCATCAGTGGTAAAGAGTCATGGATCTTGGCATGTCAACCTGCATTTTTACATGCCAGCCTCGGATCCTTGTAGAGAGTCATTTTCCTGGCAAGGTAATGAGAAAATGACAATTTTACTCTTAGCTTTCGGAATTTGAATGTATATGTGCTCACAGCTGTCTCTCTGCATTGGCTTGCAGACATTGAACATCATTTCAAGATCAAAAAGTGCTTTAAAACAATGTGTTGTAACCTGAAAAACTTACATTTTGGTGACTGTGTTTGTAGTCAGGACTGCTGTTTAGAGAGATGAGTTAAGCGGCAGGCAGGAGGAGACGCTAGTAAGGCTGTCTGTAACAGCTGTCTCCTCTGTTTTGGTAGAGAGCAATCAGAAAAAGTTCTTCGAATAATAAACAGAATTAACTAGCCTATTTTTAAAGTATCTGACATACAATATAAGTAAGATCATAAATTATTTAACCTCTCTGGTTTTTTTTTTTAAGACGAAATCACGATACTCCTTAGAAGCAGTGTGATCATTTAAAGCCACGTACCTGTTTTCTGAAAGAGCAGAACTAGTTCATGAACGCTCCCATGGCTCTTCTGCGGCAACTATTGCTGTTCATTAGAAGAAAGAGATGTTAGAAACTTCAGGGACAGAAATGAATGGCACTTGCAGGACACAACTACATTAGAGCAGAATTTCTTAAGAGGATGTATGAGTAGGTGTTTTGGGTCCCCGCCTCCTTCTGAAATCCCACCTAAGAGTTGAAGTTTTCCAATTTTAAGTTATTTTGAACTTATTTTTTTAAACACAGACCTTTTACATATTCAGCCAGCACCGAACAATGGTACCCATGGTAGCTTGAACCATCTTCTGAAGACGCCTTTTTATGAACCCACGCATGCAGAGGAAGCCTCAGAGTTGTCCGTTTGTAGCTTTACAACTCCACTGCCCACGGATAATCTAGACTGCTCATGCCCCACTCTACAAAATGTAAGTAACAGCTCCATGCGTCCTTAAGTATGTCAAGAAGCAAGCTCATCCATAGCTCAAATGACTGACAACCATGCTGGTGTACCAGCTTAGATATTCACTAAGTAAATATATGTGGTTTCTTTGAACCTTATGTGGAAATGAAAGATTATAATGCATATGGTGTAAGATAAAGCATTAAATACTCTTTGTAAAATGGAAAGCATTATTTGGAATGTAATTGTTAATTCTGTTGTGAGCTAACTGTATTTAACCATTCAAAACAGTAAGCTTGGAGCTCTTTCTTAAATCCTTTATAAACCAGTTTCAGAATATAAGAATCAGAAGCTCATGCTTACTCATTTAAAGCCCTGAGAACTAAGGAAACCGCGGGTATTGTAACCTGGCAGTGCATACACCTGCTAGGGAAGTTGTTGGGGATATTCCTTTGGGTAACAGAAGAGAATTTTTATCAGGCCATACCTGGAAGCTGATGAACAGTCAGTCAACACTGAGAATGTCTTTTCAGTAGATCACGTTTTGCATTGAGTTTAAGAGGAAGATTTCAGCCCCAAGAAATTCTCAACTAGGAGAAGTACCAGAACTAAAAGTGGCTGGGGGGGGTGGGGCAGAGGTCAGGACAGGAGATCAAAATACAAGAATGAAACTGACCTGTGAGAATCAGTGCACCTGGATGAAGGCCAGGATTTCAGAATGTAATTGTGCCCCAGATATCAGTAGGCTAAAGCTAACATCAAGGCCCATTTGATGCCAAGTTGAAAATGTGGTTGGAGAGCTAAATAAGCACCTGTTGCCAAAGATAAGAATTATTTCTTACATTTAGGGGTCAGTGAAGATTTTATATTCTCTAGTCCTTAAAAAACAGTTATAAATAATTAACCAAGTAGAAGAGGCTGTAAGAGAAAAAAGCCTGGTTACGTTTTTCAATAAAGATAAATCAGGGTACAGGTGAGGATTTCCAATAGAATATTGCAGAACAATACAATGAAACTGCCATCAAAGAGAGTGACAATTACAGAGATTAAAGAGGCTCAGGGAAATTGGATGAAAATAGCAAGATTACAGAAGTTTTCTGGCTGCAAACTCTTTTCTTTTCAAAGTACAGTCGTGGACCTGTGTCTGCATCTCTTGGTTCTATCCCATGCTTACAAAATTGGAGTCTGCATTTCAAACTAAACCTTTAGGTTACTTTAGCACAGACTAAAGTTTGAGATCCACATTCAGACATTGTCATGCCACCCAATTGTTGATTTTAACTGTGGTCAGAATGCTTTGCCCCATTTCCTTAATATATCTGATGTAAAAGGGGATTTTAAGGGAGAAGCCCCACCCAGTCTCCCACCTGCCCAATGTATGTGGGCCATTACAACCTACACAACAAGGGTCGCAGCCAGCTCCATATTTATGCGTAGTGTCCAAATAGGAATTTTCACACATTACTTTTGTTTCTTTGTGTGGTAGCAAAACATTTCATGAGACCAATGCAGAAATAATCTTGATACATACTTTGAAAATATGTCATGTTGCTTTCATTTCTTCTTTTATCCCCTTATTATGTTGCAGAATGCTCAAACAGAATACGTGAATCAAAGACTAAATCTCAACCAAACAGAGAGTAAGTTAACTGTGAAAACACACTGCGTGTTAGATATAACAAATGCCATTTGCTCTTGGTCGGGATTCTCTCAAGTTACATCACAGAAATTTTTACATACATAGATTTCGTTAAGATACAGGAAGAAGGCCCTCTACAAATTTACTAATCACAGTAGCAAACACGGGGACAGCTGCAGTGATTCCAAGAACAGCAGATTTCTTCAAATGATCGTGCCTCATCTACCTTCCTATATTCCCTTGCTCATTCACAGGCATACCAGATGGCTGGGGTTTGAATTCTACCCATGCTGTTTGCTGATTGTATAAGCAGGCACATCACTTAACACCTCTGCATGCCAGTCTTCTGAGCTATGGTAGTTGTACTGATCTCATGTAATTGTAAAGATTTAAAGAGTTGACGTATGTAAAGAACATAGGACATGGCCTATGGCAACATTGTCACCTGTTACATTGTTTTGTTTTTAAGAGACATCTTGTAGGCTGATGGGGAGATGGAGATGGGCTGTTACACAGAAAGCTCCCATTCATTGGTTTCCTCCCTAAATGTCTGCAGCGGCGGGGTCAGGGACCAGAGACAGGAATCCACATCTCGCACCTGTGTAGCAGGGGACCAGTTACCTGACGCATCATCCCTGCCTCCCAGGGTTTGCTTTGCAGAGAAGCTGGAGGAAGGAACCAAGCCAGGCCTTCGGATGCAGGTGTCTTTACCCCTGGGCTCACTACCTGCTTTTACCAGTTATCTTTTTAAAGTATCTAACGTTTTGTTACAATACCAAACAAAATGTACATTTTATGTAGTTACTATACGGTACTGTTTAGAGAACAACAGCATGAACATTTCTATGTGTGTTCAGTGCATGGATTTTTCAGTTCACAGTTCGTTGAATTCATATAATGGCATGCAAACGGAAATAAATATGCGATTCTATTAACACATTGTCTTACTCTTTTTAGGCTACCATAAAAGTATTATAAACTACTGGATTATAAGTCACTAAAACTGTATTTCTCATGGTTTTGAAGGCCTGGAAGTCTATGATCAAACTACCAGCAAACTCAGTGTCAGAGGAGGACTTGCTGTCACATAGATGCAATCCTGTCCTTGCAACTTCACGTGACAGAAGGACAGCAATCCCCCGGGGGTTCTTTTCTTATGGACAATTATCCCATTCAAGACAGTCTTCTCTCATAACCTCTTAAAATGCTCACTTCCGAATGCCATAATCTGGGGCATTAGGGTTTGACATGAATTTGGCGAGGGGAGGTAAACATAGCAGAAATACTGTAACATTTCAGTATCTTTTCTATGACCACGGTTAAAGTGTATTACAAATAGTGAGCATTTCATTTTGAGGTGCTATATCTTTAGATATGTGTTCTGAGCTGTGGCTCATGAGGGATCAGAGAGCAGGCCCTTGGATTTGGCCAATTTACGTGACTAAGCCTAGGCTATAGAATCTGCAGGGTGAGAACAGAACAGATCCCTCATAGTGTTGTTGTAAGAATTTAAGAAGTGTGTGAAATATTTAAAGTATGTAAAATATTACGTGTTTATCAGAGTACCTGACACATCAGTCATCAGAGAATGGTAGTTGCATGCACATGATGCATGTGCTGATTGCACAGATTTTTACTTTTGTTATTTTTATTTTAGTAACAGCTACAGTGAGGGTGAATATGCCCTTTGGGAGGCCTAGAGTTACACAGAAGAATACAGAACACTGTCTCCTTTACCACAAGGAATATGTCAGTGGATTTGGACGAGCCATGAGTATGCCCATGTGGACTTCATACACAATCCCTAAGCCGGTAAGTTTCTGAAATCCATTGACTTCAGAATGTCCAATGTCCCAAGATATTGCATAAAATTTTTCGTACATACTCTGTGAGCACAAAAGAGGAATACGTTGTCTTTTGCCTGGAGAAGTTGCTGTTGACAGGATAGTCGGTCAATTGGTAAGGCAAGTGTGAATGGCATTTCAAATAGTAGCCACAGGAAGTACAGAGGCACACATTCATTTTGTTTTCCCTAAATATATGAGTATCCTTAGAAGGTGATGGCAAACTAATTATTAAGGACTGCAAATTGTTCGTTTATTTAGCTATCTGCCGTATGCTTGGAAGGCACAAAGAACAGAATGTAATCTTTCTCTGAAAGATCTAGTACTCTAGTAAGTCAGTCTAGATGAGCACGCGCAGAGAAATGATACCATACATCTGTCCAATCTGAGGTTGAGCATCCCTGTAACTCACTACATCCTCTTTCCTCTTCACTGTCTGACAAATTCTCCTCTGCTAAATTGTGCCAGGATAACTGACTGCCTATCAGAAAAAGAAATATTAGATCCTTCCCTCACACATACACCGAATCAAATTTCTGGTCCACTTATAAACCCAAATATGGCTAGCAAATCATGGTTTTCTTGATGACCTTGGCCTAGAGGATTCCTTAGGATACAAAAAAGGAAATTTACAGAGCAAATTTACATCAGCATTAATGTGTGACCAAAAATACACAGTTATGGAGAGGCAACATATTTATGCTATATATAAGAAACGTGTTAAATATCAAAAATAGCAATTAGGATTTAGAATAGCTAGTAAATTTCTACCATGAACTAGAGAATGGGAAACATCTTAGTTAAATGATGAAATGTGAACAAACATTGGACTTTAGTAGCAATCAGAGCCTTTGTAAATTAAAACAAAATATTAAAGTCCACAAATTTAAAAAAATCAGTGTTAGACATTCCTTCAATGCAGACATGGCTTTATTTAGTTTATACCCAACACAATAGAGCTGTCCCATTTAAGCTTATCAAAAGGAATTCGTTGTATGGATTAATTCCAGCGATAATTTTTGAAGCCATTTACTGACAAAGTTGTGTTACCGATCTGAAACATAAATAAATAATCTGCAATCTGCTTTTCTTAGAAGAAAATCTCAGTATTTTATATCCAAAGGCTGTTGATAAACTCTAGCTATTACTGCTCTTGTTAAGGACACAGTTTTTTTTGCTAGAGAAAGAAGTAATTGGTTGTACCTTGATTGTCTACTTTTCTTGTTTCAATTTAAGATTTTTGGAGAAAATTAAATACATTTCCCCTATTAACTAACACTTTTGTGTGTTCTGGGAGCTCCCTGTACTGCTGTCAATAGTTTAGTCAATAATGGTTGTTGATTGTTGATCTCAAGAGTGCTAATGCTTATTTCCCAATGAGGGAAATACAGTTAACTGAGTTCATGTGTATGGTTGGTGGCTACATATTTTCTTCATGTGTACAACGGTTAGTTATTTGTGATTTTCTTAAACATATTTCATTTCTTAAAATAACTTCCATAAGATCAGTCTTATTACTCCATTCTTTACTTTGAAAGTCCAGGTCCAAAGGACTGTGTTTGTGGTTTTGATACTTTATTTGTCTGCCTTGCATGCCAGAATTTATATGAGCTCTGGAAGAAACCACAGGAGAGATTTTTGAGTTCAGACTAGGAGCTCAATACAGCTCATCTTAGTTATTGTTTTAGAAGTAGCTAATTTTGTTATCAGAAGTTCCTGTCCTTTTTCTGATACCACAAAACTGCTGGTGTATTTCTTCTTCCTTGTGATTGGATGAGTTCTAGCAATTCTCTGTTTTCTAATTCAGAAATTACCTCGTTCATATGTTGTGGTTTAAGAAAATTGCATACTTGAATGTTTTAAGATTCACATAAAATGTTTTTTTATTTTTATTTTTTTTTTCAAATTTTATTGTTCTTTATTGAAACTCAAGGAAAGACAAAACATAAACAACAGTTCACATGCATTTGTTCAATTTTCTCAATATTAGAATTATTATACACAGATTATAATACTATGATGTATTAAACACATCATCAAATTTGAGAGAAATTCACAAAAATACAAAGGAACAAATTATTATAGAATGTCCTGAGACACTTGGCAACTATAAAAACAGTATTCTATATCCACACTGGAAAACCAGCTTAAAAATTTCGTCCTTCTTTTTTTATGTTTTCTTTCTTTCTTTTATATTCCTTTCTTTTTTTTTTTATTTTTTTTATTTTTTTTTATTTTTTTTAATATTTTTTTTTTATTGTTGCTTACATTGTATTATGTAGTACAGTTTTATAGGCGCTGGGGATTCCCCCCACCCCTCCCATACCCCTCCCCCCATGGTGGATTCCTCCACCTTGCACATAAAATGTTGTAAATCATCTCTGTGCTTTTAAAAAAAGCAGACTTTTTATAAACACTTTCTGAAATAAGGAACCAATTGCCTGTGCCTTTAAGTTTTATAGTTTTTTTTTTAATCCTTAGTTTTGGTGGGCTTTCTAATTTCTGTTGTTATCTTAGAAGAATTTTAAGCAAGTGGTTGTGATTTGAAATCATGGCACTACAACTTCTTCAAAACCGCTAGCATTGGTGAGGCTCGGCTGGTTAAGCGCAGATTTTACTTCTGGCTTGTTCAACAGGAAGATGTACAGTGATTTTTTTGTTAAGTGAAAAATTGAAAATAAGAACAAGAATGATCACTATTGCTTTGAATAGGAACTTCAGAAATTTAATATGAAACTAAAGGACTTTTTTTGAGAACTAAACTGAACTTTGAAAAACATACCCTTAAAAACTCCCAGAGAAAAATGGAATTTTGGGAATTTGGTGCAGAAATGAAGTCACTGTTAAGCATGCCCACATCCCATATGGGAGTGCTTGAGTCAAGTCCAGGCCCTGTTTCTAGTTCCAACTTCTGTTAATGCAATCCTGAGAGAAGCAGATAGCAGTTCATGTAGCTGAGTTTTCTGTCCGCATTGGAGACTTGAACTGAGTTGCCAGCTGCTGGTTTCAGCCTGACCTGACCCCGCATGTTCTTGGACTTTTGAGGAGTCACCGTGGGAATGGAAGCTATCTCTCTGTGTCTGTCTCTTGCACCTTTTAAATTAAATGACGGAGCATAAATGAATAAAGTTCTGAAAAATAAAAAATAGGATAAGAGATAAGTTTATTTTTGTGTAAAAGTTTGGGAATCCATGTGCTATCCATGAATTTCTTAAAGACCCTTCAAATACATAGATTTTCAAAGTTTTTACATCAAAATAAATCTAAGTTCTAGTTCCATTATTTTATGAACCTTTTGAACTACCCTCATCTATTCATTATTTTTATATAGTATGTGCATTTATTTCCCATTGCACTTTTAAAACCCTTTGGTTTGTTTCCAAGTCTTATTGTAGATATAATAAATCATGACCTAGTTGTGTTTTGCGTGTCTTAAAAACTAGGTACACTGTTGTGGTATTACATTTTTTAAACCATGAAAGAAACCATTTTCCTGTGGGGGGGAAATTACACAACCAGATAATGAAAAGTGCATGCAATTATTTTCCTTATCATAACACCAGATTACAACTACTCATCCTCCAGTAAATTTTAGCTTTGATATCCAGTCCACAGATAAGCTTCTAAAACTTCAATTAAAATAGTTGTCGCTTCTGTTCAAGCTCTATTTTGTCCCTGAAGAGGACTCAATAGGTATATACATATCCCACGTTCTTGACTGTGCTCATTGTGTAATTCTCTTTAGGTCTTGGGAAGTGAGGTGCTCAGATTTTATCTGAGTTTTTTGAGTTCCAGTTATTGCTTTTCTGACCTATTGCTTAACTACAAAAATTCCAGGGCTCTCTGAAAAGATGGCAGAGTAGAACCTGTGGGTGTGTGAGGAGAGAGTACGGCTGATTTCACCTTCCTTAAGAAATAAGGGGATGATACCTGCCCTCCATCCTTTCAGAGAGCTGCCCATCAGGCACATTTTTAGTCATGCACTTCTATTTCAGGGCTGAAGACTTTGTACATAGGTGCGAGTATTGGGCACAGCAGTTAAGTCCCCACTTGGGACAGATTACATATTGAAGTGCCTGGGCTACAGTCCCCATTCTGCTCCCTTTCTGTCAGTGTGCACCCTGGGTGGCAACAGGAGATGGCCCAAATATCTGGTCCCCTACACACATGTGGAGACTTTCACTGAGCTTTAGGGTACTGGCTTTGGGCTGGGCTCGCCCAGCAGTTATAAGCACTTGAGGGAGAGAATGAGGAAATGGAAGATCTCTCTCTCCCCAAACCCTCATCTCTATCTTGGTGCCTCTCAAATAAATAAGTAAAAATTAAGAAATAAAATGCAAAATTTCCAGTTAGCAGAAAGGAGGTTTTATCTGTTTAATACATGCTTACCCTAAGTCTATCCTATTTCATTTCCCCCAGCCCAAAGTCAATATCACCTTGAGATGATGTTAAACATTTTTTTCCCAGTAAAATTGTTTGACCACAACTTTTGCAACTATAGTCTCGTTAAGAATGCAATGCATTTTTAATTTTACATTGTTATAATTTTACCAATTGAATATAGGCACCTCAGTTCATTTAAACTTTGAATGTTTCTCACAGAAAACTTACTAAATCTGTGAAACATTAGTGATAGAGTTGTATGTTAGGAAATCTACTCACGGCATTCCAGGCATCTATGGACCTGACTTAGTCAGCCTTCGATATTCTTCCTTCCTTCACTTGAAATCGTATTCAGGGGCCCTTTATGCCAGGTGGAGAAAACTGGGCTCCTGGAACTGTCCACTCTGAGATGTTTCTGGAATGGCGCACAGGAGTGTTTAAGCTTTTCAAGCTTTGGCACCTGAAGGAGAGTGAAATAAATAATGACAATTACTTCATTCAACACAAGAGTCTTAATCTTTCTTCATTCACTTCCTGTTTTGGTGGATGGATATCACTCTGGCACTGCCACAGAAACAGAAAGGAAGATACGTTTTTGTAGCTTTATGTCATTTAAAATGTTGGGTTTTTTTTGTTTGTTTGTTTTGACCATATACATAGTTGGGAATTGAGTTGACTTTAGAATTGAGAAACAGTCTTTTTCCCTGGATTAACTGCTATTGTGTTTATAATTTCCCTACTTTTTCCATTTGTTTGTCTTAATTTCACATATATATATGTATATATATGCATTTTCTAGATCTTATGAATATGTTATTTCTTCTCTCCTATTTTTAAAACCCAAGATCTCTGTTTTCTCTTTTTAATTGCATCCTGCTTTTTCTTTATGTCATGTGTATTTTCAATTTTCTGATAATTTTCATTTCTGTTTGGTTTCTTCCTCTTACCCTCACCAAATTTGTGGAGGTCCTTGGCTTTCACGTTGCATTTTAAGGGTGAGGCACTAAACTACCTGGCTGGAGGTCTCCAGCTTCAAGGCTTTATTGTAGGTTAGTTAGGGAGAGAACCAGCTGTTCTGCTGGAGAGAACAACTGCGGGGATCTAATTTTACTTTCCTTTCAGACTGCTTTGTTATGCATAGAGTGAAGCCTTGTAGTTGGACCCAGTGTGTCTGAGTTGAAGGTTGCAGCAGACCATGAGTGGGGAGGAACCTTGCATTCAGTAGACAGAATTCTCTTTAATTCCATTGATCTTAGTATGTTACATCTTGTGTCCTTTAATGTGACTGTCCCTCTGGTTCAGATTTTTCAGAGAGTAAGCATTCTGTCTGGCCTTTTGCAGACTTTAACCTAGCCTCTCATTTCTAGCTGTATCCACACCCTCTGTCTTTGGGAGACTACAGGTTCTGCCCTTTTGTGTTTCCAAGGTAAGAATCTGACCTTCACTGTTCCTCCAACCAAGGATCCTTGGTAGTCACTGTTTATGGCTACAAATCAGATTACTAATCTATCTGCTTCCTTGCTCCTGAACATTTTTTGTCATCCCCTATCTATCATTATTATTATGGTCCTTTTAATACGAGTATTAGAAGACAGCAGATATAAATATACTCATTAAGTCAAGTCGAGAAGTTTACTCAGCCTCTGTAATGGTTCCATTAGGAGCAGTGCAGTGTGTTCAGGAGTACAGGGTGCCTGACTTTGTACTTCCCCCATCTTCAGCTCCTGCCCATGCTGCACCTCTGTGTGATGCACTCTGGCTTGTGGCTACAGAATACAATGAGCATAGCTGTTCCTTTGGGAATTGACCTCATGCATCTTGGATACCATCTGAGAGCTAGGTTTTGTTTTCAGCACAATACATTGAATAAAGAAAGGGGATTCTAAAAGCATTCATTTAACAAAAATTGTTTTAGGTCTTATTTAAAGGGCTATTTATTGTGAATAGCAGATGATATTTAAGTAAAAACCTCCTACAAATTAACCATGGCAAAATATTCATTTGATTAAATACTCATCAAAATGTGATTGTATAATACAGAATTTCCTTAAATTGTTGAGTTAGGCACTACATTAGCAAAATGTTCCCTAATTAGTAAATTATTGTATTAGTCTTTAGTATCATAGGTAAAATTATAAAAATATATTTCTATATATTATGATGAATGAGGCATAACCTCAAATTATTTTAAATTTCAAAGTTAGTATGTTTGGACAAGTATAGCTCAAAAGTATGGAGCTTAACTTGACTGCAAATTCTTGTTTAGATGAAGAGTAATACATTTCATTCGTTGTATATTTTAAAAATAAATTATTTAAGTTCATTTTGCAAGTAGAACACCTAGTGCATCACCATGGAAGAACAAGCATTTGAGAAGAACCTAGTGTTTTAGCAATTGCTCCCACTGTTTCTCTGCCCACTGTTCAGATTTTACTCTGCAAATATTCCTTTCCAAGGTGTATTTGATTTGCCCTCCTAATGTCCTTACGCACTGGTAACCACAGAAGAAAACATTGCTGAAGCCACCCATTTCCATTGCTTGCGTAGACCTGATTCACTAAGAAAATAGGAAGAGGTTAAATGAAAAACACTCTAGGGAAGTTACAAGCCGTATAAGGCAATGGGTGAGCCACAACTGTAGGCGTAATTTTTTTTTTTCTTTTTTCTCTTTTTCAACAGGGAGACACATCGCCTCTTCCTCCCACTGTCTCAGACTGTCTGCGGGCTGATGTCAGGGTTGCTGCTTCGGAGAGCCAAAAATGTTCCTTCTATTCAGCAGACATGAATATCACCCACGGCTTCCTCTATCCGCCTGGTTAGTAGAAGTTCTTTTTTAGAGCAAGCAGCTTAGAAAGCCCTCATCAGCTGGATGTGGGCATGTGCCTTAAACATACACTCTTCAACCAAACTACCCGCTGGGACCCAACTAGCTGCCCAACAGGCTTGCAGTGGTTGTGGGCTGGAAAGAGGCAATGCACCAGCTATAATAAAGGCTAATAAATTCTGTTATGGAAAACACACACCAGCCCTAATCTGACCCAGATGTTTAGAAAGTTTGGCAGGTTTAAGTTTAATTTTAAAACTGAAGATTCTTTTTGAGAAGGATACAAGCATCTAAAAAAACATTTGTTTTTTTCCTGGCTACTTCCCAGGCTGAGATCTGCACTGGGAATGCAGCTGTGCCTACGAAAGGAAATCAGGCTGGACGTCTGGCCTGTCGCTGGCACCCTGCGTTCTGGAGTTCAACTGGGCAGTAAGGAGCCAAGTGAATTTTAAGTATGCTTGTTTAAAGAGTGGATCTCTCATACAAAAACAAGCGTGACTTTTCTAAACCTTGAGACTGTTCAGCAGGATATGTCATTTTTGTGAACATGCTCATGAGATTTTCAGTAATTTTGTCTCTGAAAATTAATTTAATCCTGATATTATTTCTGAAAGCATAATAAAAAATGGATAAGTTATAGATTTATAATTTAGAGACTCTATGAGTTATAGCAGGAGAAAAGGCTTAATGAAAATCAGTAAACTTTTGCTTTAAACCCGTAACTCAGAACAAATAAAATGTTTTATTTTAGTATGTAGTTATAAATGGGGCCACTAAATTTATATCAATCCTAGTATAAACCTTAGCAAGTTCCGAAATTTTACTAATAAAAAAATTTAAAGGCATTATATATTTATTTATTTGAAATGTGGAGCAACAGAGAGGAAAAGTGGGAGAGGAAGAACAGGAGATGAGAGAGGAGGTAAGAAAGAGGGGGTGAGAGAGAGAGAGACCGACCTTCCATCTATCTAGTAGTTCACTCCCCAGATGGCTGCAACAGGCAACAGTCGGGTCCAGCAGAGGCTGAAGTCGGGAACCATGCGCTCCATCCTGGTTCCGCAGATGGCTGACAGGGATTCAAGCACTACTTTCTTTATCTACTGCCTTTCTAAGTGCGTTAGAAGAAAGCTGATTAAAACACAAAAGGAGAAGAAGAAAGAAAAGAAGAAGGAGAAGACTGAATGGAAATTGAGCAACCTGGACTTGAATCAGCTTTCTCTCTCTCCTCTTTTTTTCTTCTATTTTCTTTTTAAAATATTTACTTATTTTTATTTAAAAGGAAGATATACAGAGAGGAGAGACAGACAGATCTTCTGTCTAAGGGTGTACTCCCTAAATGGCTACAATGACCAGAGCTGAGCTGAGCTGACGTAGGAACCAGGAACTTTTTCCATGTCTCCCAACTGTGTTTAGGGGCCTAAAGACTTGAGCTATCCTCTGCTGCTTTCCCAAGCAGGGAGCTGGATGGGAAGTGAAACACCCAGGACTAGAACTAGTGCTTATTTGGGATACCAACATTCAGGTTAAGGATTAACTTGCTATGCCACCGTGCTGACCCCAAACCAGCATTACAAGATTCTAGCATCACAAGTAGCAGTTACGAGCTGTGTCACAATGCCAGCTCTATTAATAAAATTTCTTAAATTGGCATAAAATAGTATCTGTTAAGTTATAAAATACTGGTTGGCCCATAGATATTTACCTTGACAAAGAAATGAAACTCTTAACAAAATAACCTGTCTCAATATTAAGTCTAAAATAATACTTTCTAGTTAATACTATAATTTCTATATGTTAGGAATATAAATCTTAATATAAACGATTTTTTATTTTTCTGTGAAGCCAAATAATGTTAGCTTGACCCTTTCAGCTTTCAGGTCTTATTCTAAAAACTAGAAAAGTTTTCCACTGGGTCTGCGTATTGCAAACACTGCATGAAAAGCAGGTTTAAGTACTTGGACTATCTTCTGCTGCTTTCCCAGGTGCATCAGTAGGGAGCTGGGTAGGAAGTGGAGCAGCTAGATCCTGAAGTGGCACCCAAACTGAGTGCCACTTACCTACTATGCCACAACGTGGCTCCCAGCATCTGTCCTTCTGTGACCACATTACTATTTTTTCTCTTTGTAAAGTGTCCTCACAGTTCATCCATGTTGTCAAGTATTTCACAATCTAAACTAGCCAAATTTCCAGCGGCAAAGACTAACATTCTGGTTGTCAGTGACTGGAAAAGGGAAAAATGGGGAGTTATTAAGCAGTAGGTGTAAAGTTTCAGCCAGGCAAGATGGAGAAGCTCCGGGGACCTCCATTAGAGCAATGTACCCTGCTTTGGTTTGGATGTGATTTGTGCGCCATGACCTGGGATGTTAAAGCAGGTGTTAGGAGTTGGAGCCATTCAGAGGTGGGGCATAGTAAATGGCAAGTAGGTCATCGGGCACTGTGCTTGGAAGGGATTAAGGCTAGACTCCAGGAGTGTTAATTCTGAGTGTAAACTCTTGTTAAGAGAAAGAGGGATCCCTGCCTGACACCTGGCTTCCTGTCTCACTGTGTGATCTCTTCTGTACAGTCATTTCCCTTTCTGGTTCCCTGCCACGTTGTGACACAGTCAAGGTGCTGTCACCACAGGTCAGATGGGGCTGCTTCATCTTGGAGTTTCAGTCTCCAATGTCATGCACTCAATGAATCCGTTATTTATAAAATGCCTGGCTTCAAATATTTTCATATAGCCGTAGAAAATGGGTAAATCCATGCCTAAAGCCAACAACACTGGGTTCTATGCTTAAAAATTGTTGAAGAGAGTATGTCTCCAGCTGAGTGCTCCTACAAACTAAACTAAAATAAACAAAAGACAAAAAAAAGGATTATAATAAACACTAGTAGCTTGCTGCTTTGAATCCTCACAGTAACTCTAGCAGATAATTGCAAATGAGATACATGAAACAGAACTCAGCACTCTGCCCACGTGGTGCAGGTGTGAGTATGTGAGCTGAGAGTTAAACCTGAATGGCCTCCCGGAGCACACTCACTTGGCACTCAGTCTAGTGGAAGGCCTACAGGTGAGTCCCCAGCAGCATTCATCTGCAGTGTTCCCACTGTCTTCATTGAGTGAAAACTCTATTGATCTTGCAAAGAAGTTTTTTTCTAGCAATGTTATTATTTTGCACACATCCAGTAACTCCATATTCAACAACAAATTATCTCAAAATGGTAACTGAAAGTAACAAAAAGCACATTCTCTCTCAGTCCCAGAGGCTGCAGACCTAAAACCAAGGCTCTGTTGACATAGCCGCGGCTCCATTTGAAGGTGGCAGAAGAGAATCCTTTCTTTTCTCTTACAGTTTTTGGTGACTGGAGCCGTCGCTTGGCTTGGAGTTCTATCATTTCTTTTTTCTGTCTCCATCTCTGTATGGCCTGCTTTCTTAGGTATTTTCTCAATTCTCCCCCCTTTTAATAAATATATTAATTGTCTGGATCTAGATCCTTTCCCTCATCCAGTAAGATGTGTTGTTTGAAAATATCTGTGTCTGTGCAAAGAACCTTTTTGGATGACATAAGTTTAAAGGTACTGGAGAGGGAGAAAGTTAGGATTTAAGTATATCTCTCTTTTGGCATCACAATTCAACATACTGAAAGAATCAGAAGCATAAAACCAGCATCATTGAGGACCTCTACAAGGAAGTCCCAGCATCTCATGTTCTGAGTGTTGGCAAATTTAATTGATAGTATTAATGAATATGTTTTCAATGTCATTTTTTCTTTTATCATTTTATTCAAATTCTATTTGTTTTTCAGCCAACAACCAAACCTCTGAGAGTCAATATGATGCTTTAATTACAAGTAATTTGGTCCCTATGTATGAAGAATTCAAAAGTAAGTATATATTAGATTATTGGCTTTAAAATAAATGAACCTTTTATTGTGATTTATTCCTGATATTAAGAGTCATTTTCTTCAAATGTTTTCAATGTAATTACAAGAAAGCTCCCTGACACACTTTCTTTTCCAGTTCAGTTTTGAATACCTTGTTAGAATACTGATACTTTTTACCTGTGAATTTAATTTTTTCTCAACGAGGTGGAGAGAGAAAGAAAGAGACGAGATCAGGTATATTCAGGGTAGTATGGCTGTAGATAAAAAAGAGAGAGAAAGACAGCTCTTCTGCAGGCTTATTCATTCCTCAGATAGCCTCAACCCCAACACTGAGCTAGGAACTTCATCCGGGTCTTTCACATGGTGGCAGGGGCCCAAACACCTGAGCTATGTTCTACTGTTTCCCGAATCAATACCAGGGAACTGGATTGCAAGTAGAACAACTTGGATATGCACTGGTGCCCACCAAATTTAATTGTAAAGAGATATTCATAAAATTAGTTTTATAGATGCTCATCATAAGTCAATGAAGTAGATATTTACTTCCAGTGTAATAACTAATAAGGCAGTATGTGTGTTCTGGCCAGTTTTAACGCTCACTGCTCCAAAAGCAACTGAGCCTATGCAAGGATCAGAAGCCACACTTGACTGTAGTTTCAGGGATGAGCCTAAAGCAACAAGTTATATAATCAAATATGGGCTGTTTATTTTTGTTGTATGGGATATATTGTAGCATTGTCCAATCGCCACGGATAATTATGAAGCAGACTTTAACACCATTGAAATGTACCTGTCTATAATTAAAAACATTTCCACGTTTAATAAAGGTGTATCGTTTACACATCTTATTCTTTTCTTTTTAGAAATGTGGGACTACTTCCACAATGTTCTTCTTGTAAAATATGCTGTGGAAAGAAATGGAATAAATGTTATCAGTGGTCCAGTGTTTGATTACAATTATGACGGTCATTTTGATACTCCTGAAGAAATTACAGCGTAAGTATCTTTTACAAACTGATTTTTTAAATCTGGAAGGCAGAGTTACACAGGAAGGGGAAGAGAGAGGGGTCTTCCATCCCTAGTTCACTTCCCAAGTAGCCAAATGGGTGGTGATGGCTGAAGTCAGGAGATTTATCCGTGTTTCTCACATGGGTGAGAGAGGTCCCAAAAGTTGAGCCATCTTTCACCACCTTCCCCCGGCCATTAGCAGGGTCCTGGGTAGAAGGTGGAGCTGCTGGGACATAAACCGGAACACACATGCGATGCCACATTGCAAGCAGTGGCTCCACTTGCTACACCAAGTCATCTCTCCCAGAAAATGAAAGGATATTAGCAATAGGGTATCATGAGAAGGAAATTCACGATTTTGGATGAAAAACTGTCTCAATATTATATAACATAATTATAGACAGATGTTATTGTTGACTGTTTTCAAGCAGGTGTATTTTAGTATTAAGAAAAAGAAAACAAACTAGGGCCCTGTGCAATAGCCTGGTGGCCAAATCCTAATTTTACATTTGTTGGGATCTCATATGGGTGCTGGTTCATGTACCAGCTGCTCCACTTCCCATCCAGCTCCCTGCTTGTGGCCTGTGAAAGCAGTCCAGGACAGCCCAAAGCCTTGGGATCCTGCACCAGCGTGAGAGACCTCGGAGTTCAGCTCTGGATGTTGGGGCTACTTGGGGGAGTGAACAAGCAAATGGAAGAACTGTCTCTCCATCTCTCCTCCTCTCAGTAGATCTACCTTTCCAATAAAAGTAAAATAAATCTAAAAAGAAAAAATGGGAAAAAAAGGAAAAAAAAAACGAACATGGCAAATATGTAGGCTAAAATGTGTGGTAAAAATTATATTTAGAGGTCCTGGTGCGATAGCCTAGCGGCTAATGTCCTTGCCTTGCATGCACCAGGATCCCATAGGAGCATCAGTTCTAATCTTAGTGGTCCCACTTCGCATCCAGATTCCTGCTCGTGGCCTGGAAAGCAGTTGAGTACAGCCCAAGACCTTTGGACCTTGTACCCGAGTGGGAGACCCAGAAGAGTGTCTGGGCTCCTGGCTTTGGATCAGAGCAGGTCTGACTGTTGAGGCCACATGGGGAGTATGTCAACGGATGAAGAATCTTCCTGTGTCTCCTCCTCCTCTCTGTATATCTGACTTTCCAATAAAAAAAAATTCTTTAAAAATGTATTTAGAAAATTTCAGAAGTAATAAGTGAAAATAAAATAAGATTTTGTAAAGGCTCAGGAGGCATAGAATATTTGGTTTTAGAATCAATCCAACAATAAATGAAAGGAATATTAAGTGAAGACTAAGGGAAATTTCACAAGCATAGCGAATGCATCACAACTAAGGCAGAGACAGAGGGCCACTGCCTGGAGACAAGCCGTTCTATTAATCGGTTCATCTTTCCTGTGCCTGGTCAACATGCTGCTCTTAGTTTTGAAGGCAACACAGTAATAGTGTATTTTGAAGTTTCACCCATTTGAAGTTTCTGTTTTTATCAAAAGGTAGGAAGGAACAAGCTAAGCAATTGTGATAACTAACAATGGCTTATGTAGAGCAATGACTCTTACCTGCACTCCCGGATAAGGTGACATTCATGACGACTAAGCGTTTAGGAATTCTCGTGGCGTTTCTCCGTTGTCTTCACTTCGTCCTTAGGTCGGTGTGTCTTGAGCCTGCCTTTCATCGCAGAATGACTGTAACAAGCTCCTGCAGAGCACTGAACTGCATGCCAGGCACTTCCCGTTGGCACTTACACAAAGCACCCTAGGATGGTTGGCATTAGGCCTTAGAGATGAGCAGGCTGAGGCACAGAGAGGTCAAGCAACTTGCATATACTCAGCAATAGCGCAGTAAGTGGTGAAGCCAGAACATGGACTAGGCGAGTCTGACCTAAGCCAGTGGTTTAAATAGCAGTAATATGTTGCTGTGTACAGCTGATTTGTCTTTTAGTGGACTCAGACTTACACTTTACCTTTTCTTAAGATTTAGTTAATTTTTTATTGTAAAACCAGATATATACAGAGGAGAAGAGACAGAGAGGAAGATCTTCCTTCCGTTGATTCACTCCCCAAATGGCCTCAACCGCAAGAGTTGCGCTGATCCGAAGCCAGGATCCAAGAGCCTCTTTTGAGTCTCCCACATGGGTGCAGAGTTCCTAGGCTTTGGGCTGTCCTCTGTTGCTTTCCCAGGCCACAAGCAGGGAGCTGGATGGGGAGTGGGGCTGCTGTGATTAGAACTGGCATACAAATGGTACCCCAGCGTGTGCAAGGTGAGGACTTTTAGCTGCTAGGCTACCTTGCAGGGCCCTACACTTTACCTTTATTTGCATTCAATGTTCTTAAAAAGCACTTTTAGGTTTGTTATTTGAAAGCAAAGCACTGTCATGTCAGAAGGGATTCATCCCTGTGTTTATTCTCTGAAATTGAAAGCACAGGATAATCGTCTTGTTAAAACTGAAGAAACTCAGTCAGTTATACAGTGTTACAAGCTGAAGTGCAAGTGCAGGCATTCAGTGGAAGTGTATGGCTGGAATTGGAATTTGGCTCCTTCATCCTCAGTATCTCCTCTGTTAGAAAACAGTGCTATGACGTATGAAGTCATTACCAGTAGCAAACAAAGGAGGCAGAATAACATGCTTTCTTATTTGTGTTTTATTTTTTCCACATGTTTGAATAATCAACTTTTACTTTTGTGATAAACATCTCTTCTGGATGATTGAAGTCAAAACACGTGTAAGACTTTGTACTTCCTATTCGTCAGTGTCTTCTGCAATGCTTTTTACTTTGGCATCCCTTAAAATTATGGAAAAGGCATTTTCTTCTCTGTGTAAGCAAAAATGCAGTAACATGAAATCTTGTGGATTTTGTCTTCAGCCACGTAGCCAACACCAATGTTCCCATCCCAACACACTACTTCGTGGTGCTGTCGAGTTGTGCAAACACAGTTGAAACACCTAATGACTGCACTGGGTGGCTGGACGTCCTCCCTTTCATCATCCCTCACCGACCCACCAATGTGGAGAGCTGTCCTGTGAGTATACTGGGGAGAGTCTAGGCCCCGAGACAAGACTACGCTCAGTGGGGCTTTCATACGAGAGGCTCTGATTAAAAGACAGACCTTAGGTGTTTTATGGGTAGCACCCTCATAAAAATGACTGAATTTTCAAGCATTTTCTTAGACAATTGTTTTTTGTGTGGTTAGTTTATATTGAAGCATATATCTGCATGCATGGTACTCCTCCTCCAGGAAATCGAGGTTAAAATGTTTTCCAGTGTAGGGGATGCAGTGATGTAGGGGTCTGGAGTGATTATGATGGGTGTATAAGGAAGAAAACATTTGCCAGCCCTGGTCTGGGCCTTTTGCTTTTCTACAGGACTTTTGAAAATGAATCTTCCATAAATTTGCTGTTTCCTGTCTTCTTAAGCCTTCACTTACGCAAATCTCCACCAACTTACTCATCTTAAAATTTAAGTTTTGATTATTTCATATTTCCCCACCTGAAGACATTTGATTATCTACACTGAGGGAAAAAAGCAAAACAAAACAAAAAGAAACAACAACAAAAAAACCCCTCCCAGCCTATATTTAAGTCTTTTCAAAATCTAACCTCAGTTGAACTTGAGGATTTATTTTTAAACTAACCAGTCTGTGAAATCACTTGCACATTTCTTGAGTTTTGCCACCTCATCATTGTTGCCCTTGTTCTTCTTTCCTCTAGAATTTTCTTCTTTAAAAAAATGTTGATTGAAAAGGCAGAGTGACACAGAAAGAGAGAGAGGGGAAGAAACAAGGAAACAGAGTTTCCATTTGTTCTTTTACTCCCCTAAGGCTGCAAGGACTATTCCAAGTCAAAGCCAACAGCCTAGGACTCTGTGTAGACCTCCCAACCAAGTGGCGAGGGCCCCAGAACTAGGACCATCTTCTGCTGCTTTCCTAGTTATATTACAGGGAACAGAACTGCCAAGACTCCAACTGGCTCTCCAGTGTGGATATTCGTGTTGCAGGCGGGGGTTTAAACTCCTGAGCCACAATACTGGCCCTGATCTTATTCTTCCCAATCTGCTACAATCCAGCTTTACTTCATTGTGTAGTGCAGAAGCCTTCCTTGTCATCTAAATTGAAAGTGATCTCCCCCCAATTAATAAGGCATTGTCCCTGTTGAATAAATGTCATCACTAATTACACATTACCTAATATTTTGAGGAAATTTCTGTATCAGGCTATAATGATAATTGCAATGAATATAAACATAATACATACATATCAGTATAATAAAATATTAAAGTGAAAATATGTGTAATCAATATATAACAAGCATAATACTCTAATGATAATTACAAAGCATAATGTGATGAGTATTAACTTAAACCAAGATATAACTATGAGAGAGTGTGAAATAAATAAAATTTGTCAATCAGCTATGTGAAAGGGGAAGACGGGATAGGGAGGAGTCAAAGGTGATTGAAATTCTAGGTGATTGGAAATTTTAAAAATGTGCCAGACAATCAGGATTTTTAGAGCTGGTTGTTTTCTCTTAGTGCCTTTCACTATAAAATATGGCTTGACTATCTGGAAGGATATAAGAAAAGCAATATGGATTAGCATTTTAAATAGGTTAATTTTTATTTGAAAGCCAAAGAGACTAGGCATGGTAGGAGACCAGAATGAGAGAGACAGAAAGACAGAAAGACATCTTCCAGCCACTGACTCAACAGCGGGGACTGGGTCGATCCGAAGCCAGGAATCAACAACTCCATCTGCGTCTCACAGTTAGATGGCAGGAACTCATTTCAGGCTCATTAGCAGAAAACTGGATAGGAAAGGAGTGAGCAAGACTTGAACTGGACACTCAGATATCAGATGTAGGCATTCCAAGAGATAGATTAATCCATGGTGCTACAAGGCCCATCCCTTAAATGGGTTTTGAAAATAGACATCATGGCTTTAGTTACCTTGGTCTCTGTGGATAAATAACTTAATGTCACTTTCCTTAACTATTATACTTAATGTATATGAAAATTTCACAAGGCCAACATTGTCATGTAGAGAGAAACCACCTGCCTGTGATGCCAGCATCCCATATGAACACAGGTTCATGTCCCAGCCTCCCACTCCTGATCCAGCTTCCTAAAAAAAGCATTGGAAGATAGCTTAAGCATTGGGCCTGTATACCCACATGGGAGACTCAGATGAATTTTCTGCCTAGTCCAGTCCTAGCCAGTGTAGTCATCTGGAAAGTGAATTAGTGGATAAAAGATATCTCTTTTTCTCTTTCTCTTTGGTTTTCAAATAAATAAATGAAACAAGCAAAAATCAATAAAAAAGAGTCACCTCTATTTATGAAGTCATTGTGAGGATTAAAGGACGTAATCCTTTTAGAGTATTATAATACTCTAGTTCCTGATACATAGTAAGAGAATGGTGTCCGTTGTAGCAGTGAAATTTCACAATGGAGCTATAGTCTGAAGTCAGCATATAATAAAATTAATTGCCTTATACTCAAATCCCTGAGCAGGTGCAGTATATACCCAAGCTGACCAATATTTCCACTAGCAGTAGAACAGGTAATCGCGTTGTTAGCTTTTAATGCAACAGTTGATCTACATTAAAAGTCACCTTGAAAGACAATTCTGCACATTTAAATTTTCTTTCCAAAGTATTAATGGCACTCTCTCTCTCAAACTGGCCTGAGAGATGGAGGGCAGCATAACAATGAGACACCCAAAATTAGGCCTTACACTTGATCTAAAGAACTGGATTCATATTTCCTCATTTTTTTTCCTGCATCCATATCTTTCATTTTTCCTTCCATCTTATTTTTTCTTTTTTATCCCACTGTTGCATTGTTCAATTCCTTTCAAGTCACTGAGAATGTGACCATGGGTCCATTAATCCACTAGTACAAATTACTCAATAGATAAGAGAAATGCTGATAGGAAAATCGAAAGAGAAATCAGAACGATAGATGTAAGTCTGGTAATAAATCGAGGAAGTGAAATAAAACTGCCAAAGGAGACAGAGTGGAGAAACGAGGTCCTTAGACTAAAGTAAGGGAAAGTCTGCACTTCTAGTACCGGAACAAGCAGAGTCAGTCAGGTAAGGAAACAGGTGTGACCGAACAAAGAAGCAGTGAGTAGCCCTGGGCCTGAGAAAGGAGAAAGTGTCAGAAGCTTGGCAGACCAGCAAAGCAAAATGTCTGCAGAAAACCCAGCCAATTAGGTCACCCTTAACAAAGCAGTTGTCTAGTGCAGTAGAAGCAATGTTCAGACTGAGTGACTAAGGAGAGGGAACGGAGGAGTGATTCAAGAGGAAAACAGTGATGCAGACATTGTTTCAAACAGCAACAACCAAGTGATTTCTATTGGAGATACATATATTGCTTCTGTTTCTTTGGCACGTGTAATATATTTGAGTGTGGAATCAAAGTGTGTGTTCACCTGGAACTTGTAAAAACTATATACAAAGGCACTCAAAAAAGCTTGTGAAAAATGGTGCGAAAGTATACATTTATTTCTGTGTAAAAACATTTTAAAATCCATGCAGTTTTCTATAATATACATTTTCCATGAGCTTTATGAGAGCCCCTCATATACGCAAAGCTGCTATCTATTGGAGCACACTGGTACAACTGGATTTTTGTTGGCTAGATACCAGATAAACCAGGGATGTGTGTGTATGTTTGTGTGTGTGTGTGTGTGTGTGAGAGAGAGAGAGAGAGAGAGAGAGAGAGAAATGGGAACGGTAGGGAGTATATAAGTAGGAAAGGCTTTATAGAAAAATTGATCAAAAAATAAATACTGTTGACATATACAATAAGAAAGGCAAGAAAAAAGATTAAAAGGACTAAATTGGAGCCTCATTAGAGGAATAAGCTCAAATTAGGCCACTTTTAGTTATTTACTTATTTATTAGGAAAAAGTAACTAGTATCATGAACCTCATACACAGAAAACCGTATTTTCAGTGTTTAGGAACAAAAATAATGTCCTGTTATCCTTCCTTGGCCTCAGATAGAGCCTGTGTATCTTACAAACAAGCAGACAACTGTAATGAAAGCAAATGCGTATTAATAAATCATGCTCAACTAAAAAAGTAAAAATGGCCTGAAATTTAAAAATATTGGAGAACTAATAAAGCAAGAGGAAAGAATGTCATAGAAACCCCTGCTTCTAAACTATTGAGCTACCTTATATAGTGGTAACTTGCTAAAAGTCAAATGTCTAAGAAATAGCTGAACAGATACTCAACTGTAACATGAATGCTCAGATTTTTAAAAATTCAGCAGGTATAAAACTGCCTTCTCCCCACCCCAGTTGGCAAAGGTAGCTTAGAGAGACGTATGCTGCACGGCTTGTGGAATGCTAGTTGGCACAGACTCTGTGAGGAGTGCCAAGTTTAATATCTGGTGAAGCAAAACTGTGTGTACTGTATGAGCTAGCAACTTTAATGCACGGGCTAGAAATTCATGCCTTTAAATACGGGAGACACATGCCGAGTTAGTCACTTCAGTATCATTAATCATTTATGACAGCAAAATTCTATAGAAATGATCATTTAAAAATTTTCCACATTTAAATACAGGAGTACCACAAACCTCAACAGAACTAAATCACTTAACTAGACTCACATATGACACCGAGATTTTAAACATAAAACAGAATCAGCAAATAACTGGAAAAAGCATTTACAATATAATGTCATGTATATAAATGTGACAACTTATAAATCATCACTGTGTTTTACAAACTGATGTGTTTGTGACAAGAATTTAAAAAACAGACTTCACACTGATTTATAATGCTTAGCCCCAAGCCACGGAATGCTAGGGACTTAATTTCATCTGCAATGCTTTTATTTCTTTACAATTAAAAAGTAATGGTTTGACGGTAGTCTATGTTTGCTATAGTTTCTGCTTCTGCTTTTCTTGTTTGATTTAATCAGCAACAAAGTTTCACTTCATCAAAGAAAGATTAAAAGCAACGGAATCATTAGAGAAAGGACAACTTTTCGGTAACAAAATGTCTTTCAGTTAGTGAGTGGTCATGTTCTGTGGAAAACAGCCCTGTGTTTCTCCTTTCCAGGGAAACCAAACAGAAGATCTGTGGGTTGAAGAAAGATTCAAAGCACACGTGGCACGGGTCCGTGATGTTGAACTTCTTACTGGACTGGACTTTTATCAGGAAAAACAACAGCCTGTCTCTGAAATTTTGCAACTGAAGACATATTTACCCACATTTGAAACTGATATTTAAATCAGCATGGAAAATAATATTTGCAAAATCTAGATGATTTTTTTCTGCCAAACAATCATAAAATAAAATTGTTTATTTTTCCTTAATTCCCCCAAATGTCTTGTTGCCTGATTTTCATTGTTTTCTCTTTTTTATTTCTGTGAAAATGCATTATTGTATAGTCATTTTGCTTTTTTTTTTAAGACTTATTTTATTGGAAAATCAAATCTACAGAGAAGAGAGACAGGGAGAAATATCTTCCATCCTCTGGTTCACTCACCAAATGGTTGCAATAGCCAGAGCTGAGCTGATTAGAAGCCAGGAACAAGGAGCTTCTTCTGGGTCTCCCATGCAGGGTCCCAAAGCTTTGAGCCACCGTCTACTGCTTTCACAGGCCACAAGCAGGGAGCTGGATGGCAAGTGGAGCAGCTGAGACACAAACCAGTGTCCATATGGGATCCTGGCGATTGCAAGGCGAGGATTTAGTTACTAGGCTATTGCACCAGGTCCCCAAATAGTCTCTTTTAACTGCATTTCAGACCAGAAGATGATCTAAAGGACTAGATAGTCAAATTATGAAACTTCTCCAAACAACCGTTGGAATATTATTTTGTCCTCTAAAGACAGAAGTAGATCAAGATATTGAATAAATGGCTATTGCTAACCGTAAGAATGATAGCACATTTGTGTGAGTGGTATGTTGTCGTTATTTGGAAATTCTACATAGAGCCAGATAGCACAAGCTTTGGGCTTTACAGTCTTGTGAGTATAGCCATGCCTGGCTTAACAATGAAGCTATGATATGCATGGTTGTGCTGTCCGTTGAGAGAACATTCTAGGATATAGTTACACAAAAACAGATATGGCTGCATTACACAACGCAATCTAAGGAACTACTGTCCTGTTCATGGCCCACGGTTGACTGGATCATCACTTGCAGTGCATGCTTGGACTCAGCTGTGCTATTACATCCAGGAAGCACTTAGAGATGGAATGTATAAGCTATGAGAATAGCTGTTCCAATGAAACTATTTGTATTAGCAAGCACAGTTCGAGCTATGATTTATCAACCTCTCATTCAAACAATACTGAGTAGAGGGAGACAGAAATTAATAGTAAGTCCAGAGCTTTAGGTAAAATGCTGGTTTTATGACTTTTGTACTACCAAAATTTTTAAGAAATTGTGCATATATGTTTCTTTAATTTTTTCCAATTGAACCAAAGAGGTACCAGTTCTTATCTGAGGGCAATACCATTGCTCAGGTTTATGGCTTTCCAGACAGTCCTTGTATCAAAATCATCTCCCCCACCAAGAGGGATTCATCCCAGATCAGCAGCTCTGCAGCTGTTGGAGTGTGGGTGATCACCCAGCCCCACTTCTGGAGGGCGTGGCTTAAGCCTACCTTCCCCATGGCCGGAGGCACAGCCTTCAAGTCTATATGTGGAGTGAGACTTCCAACATGGCTACAAGGTCAAGGGGAGTACACCTGGAACATGACCTCTGACATGACCGGAAGATCTAGGGAAACAGACGTGTCATACAGCCAATTACAGCGTCTTTGGTGGTTGTGGGATCTGCCGGAAGGCTCCCTCCTGCCCTCCCCTTCCTTATCCTTTAAAATCTGTAACCTGTGCATAATAAAGCAGACATTCCTCACTAGCTTGTCTCCCTTGGCTCCTGCGGCCGTAGGCCACCATCTGCCTCTCCCTACGGGACTCTGAGACTGGAAACTCTTGTGACCTGAGCATCAAAGAAAACAAGTTCTATCGTTTTTGTTTTGACTGGGATTTCAGTTGACCCATGATCAGTAATTACAAATAATTGAAACGTCAGTTTAGCAGCACTGTATTTTTTCACATTCTCTTCTCTCAGAGGACTGGCTGAAAAATTTACACAGTGCAAAATGTAGGGTAAAGAGAGGCTGAACGACAAGATACATATTGCAAACTGCAGTATTTCTAAATGAAGAGAGATCTTGTTCTGCCGGTTTACTCCTCAAACGGCTGCAGTTGGGCCAAGCCGAACTCCAGAGGCAGCACTCCATCCAGGTGCCCTGGTGGATAGAATGGACCCAAGCACTCGCACACTCTGCTGCTTTCCTAAGCATGTTCTCTGAGAAAACTCAGGAAGTGGAACAGCCAGGACTTGAATCAACACTTTGATATGGGATGCCAGTCACTGCAAGCAGCAGTTCATCCTGTTGTGCCACAACTCTGACCTTTTCATTTTGTTTTAAAAGTTTGAGACTGTAAGGTTAGTTGCATTCAAACATACTTTTTAGGAAGAAAATTTCAATATACAGAATGTTTGCAAAAGCAATGTAAAGAGCACTCGTAGGAATATCTTCTTCCAGCTTCACCAAGTGTAAAACCATCGCGCTATGTGTGTTTATGTGCATCTTCTTTATTTCTGAAAATTCCGAGAGGATATGTGAACATCAAGTCTGTTTGTCTCTAATACAGAAAAATTTTAAATGTGTTTTTTTTTCCTCCAAGATCAAGGTCATTAATTCAAAGAACCACATTCAGGAAGGCTAACATTGATAAATTATTATAATCTAATTCACAGGCCCCTCATATTTTTTAATAATCACATTATCTTCAATAAATCACATTTTCTCTCTAATAATGTCATTGTGATGCTTTTGTTCTGGACTAGGACTTGAGATAGAATCACTCATGCAGTATTTTCCATACTCTTTGGTCTCAATGTGTAATGACTGCTTAGTTTTTAACAAATCATATCAATATTTTAAAGAGTGTTTGTCTTGTAGACTGTCCCTCAATTTGGGTTTGTCTGATGCTTGCTCGTGATAAATTTCTGCAATGCAATTCTGGGAGGATCGTCATATTGGTGATATTCATCCTCTTGGCTTCAAATTTGGGAGGACATACTGCTCATTTGTGGTGTTATAATAGATGCTTAATTTAAGCACATGGTTAAGCTGATGTTCAGTGACCTTCTTGTCTATAAACAGTATTCTTCCTATGTAATTTGTGCTTCTTATGGGAGGATGCTGGAGATGCTTTGTACATCCTGTTTCTGATTAAGATCTCACCCGTTGGCTTTTTTCTTCCCACTAATAAGCCTTCCCTGATTCAGATTTTACTTTGATGACTAAGAAAGAATGACTTTAAAGAATTTTATTTTTTTAAAAAAAAGACTTATTTTATTCTATTTGCAAGGAAGAGTTACAGAGACAGAGAAGGAGTGAGGGAGATCTTCCATCTCTTTCATTCCATCTTCCATTTCCTTCTCCAAATAGCCACAGCAGCAGAGCCAGGCTCAAGTCAGAAGCCAGAAACTTCACTTGGTTCTCCTGCATGGGTTCAGGGGTCCAAGGAGTGGCTCATTCCTTCTGCTTTCCCAGACCATTGGCAGGGTGTTGGTTTGGAAATAGAGCAGTCAGAACACAAACTGGCACTTGTATGAATGCCAACACTGCAGGCAGAGGACTAACCTATGCACTGCTGTGCCAGCCCGAAAATTCTGTTATTTTATATTTTTTAGTCTTCTTTTGTAAAATAAGTGCTCTATTCTTATTTGTTTGATGGCTGTGTGGATTCATGGCTTCTCTCTCTTTTTTTTAATCCCAAATGATCAAAATACATTGTGACCATTATTTATTTTGACACTCAAATAGTCTTGAGTTCAGTTAACAGGAATCCCTGTAAGTAGACTCATATGTCTTTTTGAGATATCTCTGTGACTTCTGGGGCAACTTCCTTATTTTGAGTTAGGAAAGAATGTTTCAGGCTCATCTTGTACTTTTCCTGCAATAACTTTGGTATTGGTCATTTCTTTTTTTATAATACATTCATTTTATTTTTTATGATGTTTCCATAGTTAAGAAGGATAGACGGTGGGCCTGGCATGACAGTGTAGTGGCTAAAGTCCTTGCCTCGAATGTGCCAGGATCCCATATGGGGCACCGGTTCTAATCCCGGCGGCCCTGCTTCCCATCCAGCTTCCTACTTGTGGCTTCAATAACTAAAGAGACCCAGTTCTGACACATGCAATCCATTGTCAGACCACAGATTCTGTGATCTTCCCTGTGGTTAGCATTTTGAGTCCAGTGGTCCATTTGGGAGATCCCCAAAGAAAGCTCACCTGAGGTGACTCCGTACCTGACTCCTGCATGTGCTAGCCAGTGTAGGGTCTGACTCAATCTGTCATCCACATCAATCTACACACACAATGGTGGTTGCAGTTGCCTGATCAATTCTGTCCCCAGCCCCATCTCATATGCAAACCAATGGATACTGCAGCCCAGCTCAACCCTGTACCACATACTCAGTCCTCCTGCATAACAGTAGGAACTATAACCTAGTCAGAGCAATCCACAATAACTCCCCTAGGACTGCCCCCAGCCCCAATTTCTGTGCATGCTGGTGTGTGCCGCAGACTGGTGTAATCAGTCCTACATCCCACTCAGCTCTCATACGCATCAGTGGGTGTTACAGCCTAGCTCGGCCAGCTGATCCCACCATCCAGCCCACACCTGTGCTGGTAGGTGTTACCACCTGTCTAGCCAGGGCTGTCCCCCAGCCATGCTTCCCAAGTTCAACAGTGGAAGCTGTAGCCCATTAGAGTGCCCATAATTTCCCTACTAGGCCCACTCTCAGTCCCAGGTTTTGCACTTATCAGGTGATTCTGTGCTTTAGCCTGATAGAACTTGCCTCCAGTCCCAGAACCTGCTAGCTGATGTTGTGGCAAAGCCCCACCAGCTTGCCAGCTTGCACTTACTCTGGCTCATGCATGCGCCAGTGGATGTGGTGATTTAGACTAGCCTGGCTCTCCTCCTAACAGCTCCCATGCAGGTTAATGGGTTTGTAGCCCTTCCTTGCCTGGTCTGCCCCCAATCACCAGCTTTCATGTTCACGGGTAGGAGCAGTGGCCCAACAGACAAGTCCTCACAGCCCTCCTACCAGGCTCACCTCCTCCCCCCATTTGTTTTATGCGTGATGTTGGGAGCTGCAGCCCAGTCTGGCATGTCTCACCTCACCCCAATAAGTGGTTTGACCCAGTCTGCCCCAAGTTCCAGCTCCTGATG